TTCCTGTTCTTGTTTCGTACAAACATACTTTAGCAAAATAATTACGACGTAACATATATAGTTTTTTCCAAAGATTTCCAACATTTTTACATGCGATCAACACCGACTCGAAAACTGAGAAACCAACAACTATGCCGAAAATCTAAGTTCGACAACGAAAGTCTGAAGAATAACTGAAACATCTATATTGAATTTGATATTGATATTTTTATCACTCGCTGATATAATAGACGTGCTTGATTGTGTCAGTATTTACACCAATTACTTGATTTGTTTAACGGGTAGTTCAGAGTATTAATCCTTAAACTTAGTACACACTAGTAGACCCCGTTGCGCAATTTGTCTATAGGCAGTCAGGAGACGGTCTCAAGACACGATCTATAGATGGTGTATAGACATCCTTCTTTGTCTCGTCTAGCGTCCATACGATAATGTGAAATTTTTGGTCCCGTGTTCGTTTTCGCCATCAAAGACATTGTTTTGTGTGGAATGGCTGGGATATGTCTCGGGGTCCCTCAAAACGTCTTTTTTAGTTAACAGAGCAATTAAGTTTTTTATGTTTTAATCTTTAATATTATTACACTAGTTAATTATAAATGCTACGTAATTCTTTGGTTCTCATATACATAATAAAATATTGCCTTTCTGAGGATTTCTGGGCACTTTCCATATTTTTTTTTCAAGTACAGATAGAACACAATGGATTTAACTCCTTAAATAATAGGATAAATTCTAGAAGTTTCACTGAGGTAGAAAAATTACCAGCCCCAAAGATCGTTTCCTAATGATGTCATATTCGATTTTTACACAGGTGAATAGAGTTGTTAATTCTGATTCTAAAAATGTGTAATATGTTCTACATTGACATTCTCAAACCTTAGTTATTTCAAAACACAGAATTTCCTAGGTAGGCGTTGAAATTATCAGTCATTTGTTTCGTATACCACATTTATCCCAAAATAATTTTTAATTTTTCCTGACTTGAGATTAGATTTCAAATTAAATTACATGTTGTCATTGACACTTGTTCTTCGCTACAGGATGACATAGTCAAATCTTCAAGTCAAGGTTTCTTCTTTCGACCTCCATCACCAAATTTGTTTTTTCATATGGACGCTATATTGGAATTATGTACATTTGAATGGACTTTTCAGTCCTAAATCAGTGATATATTCCCATAGTTGGCCACGACTTTGTTGTTGGAATGAAAATTATAACAAAATAATAAGGTGATTATTAAGAAACCTGAACACGAAATGAAAATTGTATTGATGGTAATAACAATGTTTATAAATAAGTAAAGGTAAATCATAGTAGATGTTGAAAATCTTGTCCGTTGTTTTGTAGGCAAGGCCTAAATCTTCTCTGTACATTGTTAACTGCTCGGCTTATTTCCAATCTTCCCAGTCTTCTAAACTCTATGAAATGAAGTTGGATCAGGATCTACTGACCCTCAATCAAACACCCTTTTTCTTGATAGAATCCAACATTATTATCTTTTTCAAGTAACAGTACATTTTGTACAATGCAAAAGTAGGACAGTCATTCAACTACCTACATCAGCAATTACCAAGTGATAAACAGGGAAGTATCTAATATTGAAGAATCGGTAGGAATATCGATGTTATAACTTTTAATATACAGGGTGATATCATCCATACTACATATGTAAGATATAGTATGTTCAATTTGAGGTCTGCTCTGTTATACGAAACAAATAACTGATCTGATTTTCCAGGCTTTTCCTTAAATAACTCAGGTTTGGAAATTTCAATGTATGGGCATATTCTATATTTTTGAAATCAGAATTAGGTAAGTATAAGCTCTATTCATCTGTGTAAAAATCCAATTAGGCGTCTATAAGAAAAAATAAACTTGATGCTAGAGAATAAAAGACGAAACGTCACATTGAAATTCTAATTATGCTATCTTAAAATTTATTTTGAAATCCCACTACAAACGCAGTCTGGAAAAAATAAAACTACAAATATTTTGGGAAAATTCGGTTGATTCCGTCTCTCTCCGGGAGTATTTTGAACTTTCTAAGCGGTTTTTTGTTAGCTTCCTATATATACGCAACTTTGCCTCCTCTTAAGCGACTTCCTATCTGTCACCGTTTCCGAGATCTCGGTGAGAGTCGAAATAGAAACACCCCGTATGAAAGAATTTTTAAACAAAACCATATTGCTTACTGATGCAGAAGATTTAAAAATTTATTCACAGAGTAAAAACATTTATCATTTGAACACTTGAACACTTAAATACTTGAACCCTTATTTTGAAATCTGATGTAGCTCCCTATATCACGCAAAACTCGATGTAGAGTAGCTATTATACGATATACTTGAATTGGGGTGACTTTGTATATGCCATATATCGTGGGACACTATTTGTCAGCAGAAGATCAAGGCACTCAGACCTTTCTTACGAAACCCCACTATAGAGAACAGACAAGCCGACCTCGAGTCCAGAAACAAATATAACGACGCGGTCCGTAATGCCAAAGACTAGCACGATGTAAAAGCTACGTCCAAGGTAATGTCGCAGCGCAATGGCTGTCGGTCTTTCCGGTCGCTGGCCAAGTAAATTGAAAGGAACTACTCACAGAGTAACCTACCAACAGTTACGTGTGAGGATGAAACGATTGTAACCGACTCAAGAGCTAAGTAAAAAGTGTTGGCCAAGATTTTTGCTGCCAACTCCACCATGGACATCCCCCCAACGCCCGAGTGCCGTCGTTTATAAGGGTTCCTTCCACTATGCGGAACTTATAATTCAGGCATAAGACCGTAAGACAGGTGGTCTTGTCGCTTCAACAAAGCTTCTGATCGGGCACTGGTATCACGTATCTTGAAAAGTGACATTATGCTGTTTTTTTTTGACATTATGCAGGTTATTCTACAAGATGTTAACTTAGCACTTAGTTGTACGTGTTGCCTAAACGTCATGAGGCTTGTTATCAATCTTTGGATTTGATGTGATGTAAAATCTGCTTCTGAGATGGCATTACTTGAGGTCTAAGCTGTAAGTTGTATGTGTTGATGATAATTACATTGGGTTCTTGTCTCAAATACACTTAATTGAGATTCAAAGCTAGAAATTAGTTGCGCATCCACTTTTTCTTATCCATTCTGGAAATTACATATACCTACAAATTTGTTGAATTTCAAAAATAAGAGAGATAAGAAATAATTATATTCACTGTACACTGACGAATTACAAACCACATACATGGTAACAGTAATTACACACATCGCGGGCGCGGTGATGATTTCCCGTAATTCTCAGTCTTTCGTAATTTATAACTTTGAACATAACCTCTCTTCAGAAAGCACAACATATAAATAACCTGTCATATTCAGTAATGATTTTCTCACACAGCAAATATCACTGATTTTATACACATGCAGACCAATACACATAATCATCCAGACGCCGTCTTGCTATTCAACCAACTTTCTTCTCCGAGATAAAAACTACAGACCCGGATCATTCAGCCTCACAAAGCTATGCAACCAATAATGCGTAGTTTAGTTGAGTGATTCATCCACAGATGGACGTTCACAACGATCCTAGTGAGCAAACGTGGAATGACTGTTTGCCCTAAAAACTACCTAGTCTGCAAGTTGACATTGACATCTTATAGTTTTTTTTTTTGACGTTTTATAGGTTTTTTACATGATACCTGTGCGACTTGATAACGGCCGTTGAATTGAAGAGGTATGTAGCGGAGATTGCTCCAGTTCTTTCGCGTCTCTTCCAGACATCTTACGAATTCGGCACCTTCCTAGAAAACTGGAAATTTGCTCATATCCAACCCGTCCCAAAAAAGGGATTCAAGACCGACCTTTTAAACTAAAGGCCTACAAGGGATCTCCTAGCTTACGATACGCAATAGTGGAGTAAAGTCATCTAGTTTTATGGTGAGGCTCATGTCGTTGCTCTTGATACCACGAAAGCGTTCGATCAGCTTTGGCACGGTGGCTTCTTTTGAAAGCTTCCATCCTATGGCCTCCCAGAGAAGCTTTACAGATGGGTGGCTGACTTTCCCTCTGGCCGCAAGATATCCGTCGTAATTGACGAGTCTTTTGTTCATCCCACAACGTCAGCGCAGGTGTGCCCCAGGCATCGAACTTAGATCCGACACTGTTCCTCTTACATATCAACGACCTGCTTTCCTGTTCAATCAACCCAATCCACAGCTTTGCTGATGACAGCACTCTTCATGCAGGAATTCAGAGCGGCCAGCCGATCTCTGCTGGTAAGCTGGAAAAAGGAAGACTAGCAGCGACTTCCTCTCTGACGAGAGACTGGAGGTTATCTCTGCTTGGGGAGGCAACAATCTTGCACAGCTTAGCGCTTCCAAAACACAGTACTGCACCATGACGTACAAAAAGTTCTACCAAGGATCCCCGTACACTTCGGCTGGTCGGAGTTCAGATCACCGAAGACTAGCTCTGGCACGAACACATCCGGTCAATGGCGGCAGCTGCTCAACCATTTGGGGAGCTGCCGTCCCGACTACATTATTCATTCTTGATACTGTCCAAATGTGGGATGTCCGACTGATCGATGACTCTTCTCTAACAGAGTCTCGGAACCCTTTCGTACGGGCGGGCCGTCGGCGATCTAGCTCTCTTCTATCTCTACACCAACGGACTTTGTTCCTCAAAGCTCTCCTCCAGGATACGCGATATGCCTACCAGACAGACCCTCCTGACTTCGGCCTCCCATCATAACCGTGTCGAAATTCGAACATCCAGAACTGGCCGATACGTACGCTCCTTTGTCCCGAGGGTGTCGAGATTGTGAAACAATCTAAAAGAGGAAGCTTTTCCCAGTTCTACTAACCTTAGGTAGTGCAAAAATCGAATTAACAAATTTTCTTTGGTATCCTCATAGCAGCCGCGGTGTCCTGGCATTTAGGCTTCTGCCTGCGCGGCTGCTTCGATATAAAAAAGATAATTTCCATGTCGATCTAAATATGAGTCTTGTTTTCCAAGGACTTCATCACATAGGGACACATGTGTGTCTACGTAGAGGAGCGAAAGAAATTTTTATAGTAACTTTAGGCAGTATTTTTGTACAGAAACCGTAATAAGACAGCTCAAAGCTCCATCTGTTACCAGAATCGACCACTGCGAGAGTGTATAGCAGCTTTGGGTTAGAACTATTGAGATGTTCGCGTTTGATAGCTCACTTTCGCGTTCTATAAATTGATGCTCACAATGATAGATATCTTATCCTGGGACACCCTGTACACCCATGTTGAAGACGTGAGCCACACTTCTAGACCCTGCAACTGGCAATATACCCTGGAAATTAATAAAGTAAGATAAGTTGCCTATAGGTTCAGTTCACCCTTTTTTTGAGGTTATGCCCAGATTGTCCAGACGTAAAATCAGTGTATTGTATATGTTTTGTGCGTAATGCTGTACCAATGTGTAATACAAAAAGCATGTTTATAAATTAAACTTCAAATATTCAAGCTGTTCACATATCAATTTAACCATCAGAAACTTCTAGTAAACAGTCTATGCTATAGCGTCCGTATATTTTAAGAATTTCTGGTTAAAGGGATAAGACCCACAATTATTGCAAGTGCTGTATATTTATTGTTATCTATGAACAGATAAAAACAAAAATGCTAAACAAACTCGCCAACAGTCTGCCCAAACCCATTGTTATTGGGTCTGCAGTGGCCTGCACGTACGGCATAGCTTGTCTTGTAAAGTAAGTATTTTCAGTTTATAGGTACTATTATTTTTGATCTTATACGTAAATTATTTAATTTACTGAATTTATACAGTGCCATTTCCCTAGAGGCATGATAGCTATTAAATTACAATTCTCTTGGATATAACCCCACTACTTTAAACTAGTGTGAGACCTCTATTGAAGCTACAAGTTGAGGAGCCCTGAGACAAAGCAACCCAGTGCTCCATTTTTACATGCTTCCAGAGGAGAACACGTTTTGAAACTTGTTGCCCCTAGTGTATGGTTTTCAGGCCCCCTGAGGCAAGGGGATAGTTATAGCACCAGTCTTACCCATGAATAGACTATACTATCATATCATACAATCTATTTTTGGTATTTTATCTTCACAGGAAGAAACATTTTTCATGATTATATTATCACTCTAACTTCTTGTTACTGATTATTTTGTGGTTCCTACAGAGAAATGATAGGTGGCTCCAAATATGAGGGAGACAAAAAAAGTGGTGAGGGCAAAGTGGCTATTGTTACAGGGGCCAACACTGGCATTGGTAAAGAAACAACTTGGGAATTGGCTCGAAGAGGGGCCAAGGTGTATATGGCATGTAGGGATTTGACTCGATGTGAAACTGTGAGTATAAGGCTGCCATATAGGTATGACTTAAGAGGAAACAGCTTATATGCTATCATGCAAACTTAGCTATCAAAATTGAGGCATGTGGTGACAAAGGTACATTTCTAAATGAGTGAAATTCTAACATTATGTAAATCAAAAAAATCCTACTTCACAGCAGCATAATAAAACTATAAAATATGCATTAACAGATTTACACAACAGTTTTATTGAAAAATGGAGCACTTTTGGTCAGCTATCTCCTTGGTGATTGGTTGAATGAAAGTGTATGAAGTATCTTTGTCAAATGCCACTAAAACATTAAAACTGGCTAAAAATGAGCTATGCACCATTAGAACTTTACATAAGCAGGATTCCATATAATATGAGTATAACTTACATCTTGTGAGTTTGTGAAATAGCATATGAGTTCACATGACATGATACTGTTTTCAATATGTATAAATCATTATCTATAAATGGTCCATTTTGCACTTCTTATCAAATATTTTTTCATTTGAATAATGTCGACTGGTGCTTATATGACTCATAACCTGCACACATGTCTATATATGTACAATGATTTTATATTATAACAGTACTTTGTAATCCTTAAGCTATAGGCTAGGGAAGAGATAGTATTGGACACAAAGAACAAATATGTGTACTGTAGAAAATGTGATCTTTCATCACTAGAATCTGTAAGAGAGTTTGTAAAGAAGTTTAAAGATCAAGAGAAGAGATTGGACATTCTAATAAATAATGCTGGAGTCATGAATACTCCACATGAGAAGACCAAGGAGGGATTTGAATTACAATTAGGCGTGAATCATATGGGACATTTTCTTTTAACTAATTTATTATTGGATATTTTAAAGGTAAGATGGAATTGTTGCAGACATATTGATATTATCACCAAGTACTTTAATACCAAAATTTTTTCCTTATCTTTTACATACTGCATATTTCTTGGACATATTGAATTAATTTTGATACCATTGTAGCCATAGAGAAAGTTTGCTAACAGCAGCGTTCACTCTAAAATTTTCACTATATCAATAATAAAAAACTTTTGTTAGGCTTCAGCACCAAGTAGGATAATAATTGTGTCAAGTATGGCACATAGAAGAGGAAAAATTAATAAGAATGACCTAAATAGTGATCAAAATTATAATGCATTTGAGGCATATGCTCAAAGCAAACTGGCAAATATTCTGTTCACCAAGGAACTTGCAAAAAAGCTTGAAGGTATGTAAATCCTCATAGCTATATGTTTTATTTCAGTATATTATTTAGCTCTTTCCATATATTATAAATATGTTTGACATCTTTGCCTTTTGCTTAGTTGAGAGTTTTATTCCTCATTGTCTTTCCAAAGTTAAGGGCAAAAATTAAAGAGGAAATTTGTTGAACTATTCTAAGTATTGTTTTTGACGATTTTAGAAAAACCGTGTCCAAGGTACAAATCCTACAAAGTTTTGGTAAGGCCCGTATCGTCAGTCGTCCCTACAATTGTAGGGCGCGTTTATAGCCTCCTTGATTGTCATACTCCTTTCTCTCCTTCAAAACTTTCTAGATTACACTTGTCCCGTGTCAGCGTCAGCGCCCTCCTATTGTAAAGATATGTTTTCTTTTTAAATTGTAGGAAATTTCATACTGATAAAACATGATATAACTCAAAAGCAAGCAGTCAGTCGTCCCTACAATTGTAGGGCGCCTTTATGGCCTCCTTGATTGTCATAGTTTTCTACTTCTCCGTGTCAGCGCTCTATTTTGAGGTTATGTCACAAACATCTCTTTGCATCAAATTGTGCTTGCTTTTGAGTTATATCATGTTTTATCAGCCTGAAATTTCCTACAATATAAAAAGAAAACATATCTTCACAATAGGAGGGCGCTGACGCTGACATGGGAAGGGTGCAATCTAGACATTTTTGAAGGAGAGAAAGGAGTATGACAATCAAGGAGGCCATAAACGCGCCCTACAATTGTAGGGACGACTGACGATGCGGGCCTAAGATACTTGGCAATATTAATGTACCCATTTTTAGGGCTTTTTAGACATTAAATTGCTAATACCTCATATATGATCAGCTGTAGAGAAAAGTGTGAGCTCAATGCTTGAAAATTCGGTTAAAACTTATAATCTTTGGGGTCGATAAGTATTCAAAGTAAAGTTAAAACCTTGCTCTACAATACCTTGAAGAGCATTTTGAGATTAGTTTATTTGAACCTTGTTTTTCATATCAAAATTGGTGAACTTTTGGGTTTCGCAGACTACCTTTATTTTTTCCGGGACCATGTAACTGTTTGTCACTACCCTGGCAATGTTTATGTCAATTGTTTTTTCTACTCTTCCTCTTTTTCTACTTTCTACGTTTTGTCATTTCTTTACAGTTGTACAAACTGAAAACAAAAGCAATGGTTGCACCCTGCTTATCAATAAATGTCTACCTTCCAAACATAACCCTAAGGGTCTATGAGCTCTCAACCGATACAATTCTCTTGTTTGAAAACTGATGGAACTGAAGACTTGTTATGTATAATAAAGAACTATGGAATTTACTTATGATATTTATATCGCATTCAAAATATGCTTTTCATAGTTAGATATCACCTACCTGACCACACATTTTACAATGGTAGGTAGGTACTTAAAAGTCACAATTAAATTATTGTCTGACCCTGTCGAATATGCCATCACATACTATATAGTCTTGTGACATAATATGAGACAAATAAGGTATTATTGTTAGTTGACACTCAAAACCCAAAATATTCACCAAACGAGCAGAGTTATCTAAAACCGTAATATAAAATAGTCGTAGAATAGTCCAAAGCATGGGCGCGCATTGGGGGGCAAGAGGGGGCAGATGCCCCCCTGACTTCTGCCTCAAAGTGAAATATTCTTAATAAGATACGTAATCCTTTGGTAAAAAGTGGCGTGTGTGTTTTTTTTTCTCTTCGAAACATCCCTACATAGCAGATACTATTTCTGCTACCATTTCTGCTTGAATAGTTGGCAACTGCGCTTTCCCCTAGGGTATAAATAAGACTCATCGTGGAACGTAGCGTTAGATTAGCAGCCAGACAGCGGTGTTAAGAGGATGGTGCGCACGATTCAATTATGAGTTTTGTATTTAATTGCTGATTGCTGCGTTGTTACAAAAAAACGTGCATACGAGAGATGTCTTTTAAGTTTTGCATATGGAAATAAAACAACAAGGTAAGTAGTTTTAAATGACTTTATTGTTTTTCGAAGTATTCTCCACGAAGATTAATACACATCTGCATGCGCTCGAACCAATTTTCGAAGCACTTATTCCACTCGTTTGCTGGCAGATCCAAAACGGCATTTTTGAATGCGTCAACTGCTTCGTCTGGTGAGTGGAACCTTTGACCACGCAGTCTGTTTATTTTCGTGAAAGTAAAGAAATCGTCAGGACTTAGATCGGGACTATATGGAGGATGGTCCAATAATTCCACATTTTCTTCCGTTAAATACTGCCTTGTTTTTTGGGCTGTGTGCGAGCTTGCATTGTCTTGGTGGAGGATGATTCTTCTTTCGAGGTTGATTTTTCGAAGCTCGGTGATGACTTTTGTCAAACAAATGGTGGTATCCCAATTCGCAGTAACAGTTCTTTGCTCATTAACAGGAATTGTTGCAATATGACCCGCTTTTGACACAAATGTCGCGATCATCTTTTTCGAAACACTTCGAGAACAGATTACTTTTGTTGGCTTTTCTTTACCTTGGAACACCCAAACAGCCCACTGTCGTTTATTTTCTGGTTCATAACGGTAAATCTACGATTCATCACCACTGACAATGCTGTACACATCTTTTTGGGTTTCCGGAATTGAAACGGTCAAGCGTTTTTTGACACCAATTAACCCTGGTTGCTTTCTGCTCTTCAGTCACTGAACTTTTGGCCTCCAACGAGAAACTAATTTTCTTACTCCTAATTCTTCATGTACAATTTTTTGAATTGAGGTCTTTGAGATCTTCAAGGACGCCTCAACCTCGCGATATTTCACATATCTATCTTCAATGATGAGTTTGCGCACAGCATCGACGTTTTCCTGAGTGACTGCCGTTTTTGGTACACCCATACCAACGGGAAATTGTCGACTGATGTGGCGCTTGGTTGCCGAAAACAGTAACTCAGCAAGGCATTATTGTTGCGATAATTGTCTCTGATAGTTGTAATAAATTATAGCGCGAAAATGTTCTCGGTTGAGTTCTATGTTTCTATATGCAAAACTTAAAAGACATCCCTCGTAACGCGACTTACTATTGTAGTCGACATGAAAACCTGGTACGTAAAATTAAATAATGCTAGTTCAATAGTTGACATTATATCTACCACCCAAAAATTCATTTTGAATGCGATTTATAAAAAATGCGCTTATAAATATTTGGTATTGTTTTCGATTGCGTTTCGAAAATTCAAATTGGACGTTGCGTTTTTCTTACAGGCAATTCTTGATTTTGGGGCGTCGGACAGCAGGTATGTGGCCCATAAATTTTTCCAACAATAGTAGCTCTCGATTTTATAGATTTTTCTTGACCTATTTTTCAAAACCCCTACTGTGAGATAATTAATTTTATGGGGACAACACACGTCACTTGTTATATTGGAGTAGGTATGACATCATAATGTCAATTACCCCACAGTTGGGATTTTGAAAAATAGATCAAGAAAAATGTGTAAAATCGAGAGGTACTATTGTTGGACATACTTATGGGGGGTTGCCTTCTGTCCGACGCCTAAAAGTTAAGAATTGTTTGTAAAAAACGCCCCGCTGTGCCACTAAGGTTTTTTGGCACACAAAAAGCTGTCCGATTCGACACAAAGCACACATTTACAAAACCTCAACGATCAGGTAATCAATAAATTTTGTATATGGTGGGCCTGAGGCCTAAGTATTTTAAAAACTCTTTTCACTATTTAAAATGCCCACATATAAAATTTGTTGAATGGGCCTGCAATCAGCGAATCCAGATCTACCATTTTTGCAGAAGATTTACCTCCATTCTACAGCAAAACGATCAATTACTACCGTTTTTTATCGCACAAATTCCGATCATATCACTTCCTCTTAAACGTCCAGTTTACCGCCGCCCCCGTCTTCAATTGTCACCAACGGGTTGACTAGTTCTCAATATTTTTGATCCTGCACAACCTGTAAACCAAATATGCCCCCCCCCCCTGGATTTTGCTATATGGGCCCCGATGGTCCAAAGAATCGCCCCTGAATTAGTCATCTTTTAGTTATCTCTAATCATTCAGAAAAAATGTGAAATTTACAAAATTCGATACAGATGATACATACCTGTATATACAAGTAGAACATGCATGAGTCACTCAAAATAATCATTTCACTGCTCCTTCAACTTGTCGAGAATGTAATCAATCAAAAATAAATACATGCATATTCAGCCTCACTTACCTTAGAAAGTTTCCAGAAACACTCTTGATTCATCCAATCCGAAATCTAAAGATTTTTTCAGGACAGATACTCAACATTTCAACTTACGTACGGGAACAAAACAAATTCGAGATCTTGGAAGATTTCTCGATCCGTACAAGCAGAAATCCAAACATTTTTACCCCTCACAGACTAAATGGAAAACACTCAAACATGAGTCCTTACACGCTTCTCTGACTTAGAATAAAATGCAGAACTACATTAAAAACAAACACAGTAGGCAGCAGCGGTGGCCGCAGTAGTAGACTCTTCGGTCTCCTGATCAGTCGCCGTGCGCTGTGCGTGTTCGAATCCCGTCTCAGGAGAAATTTTTCTCTTGGCTATGGATGTTGTGATTGTCCGTGGGTGGTACACGGTCTCTGACTGTGGAACGCGGACGTACCACCCAGCGGATCTCGTAGGCGTAGCCAGAATGTGTGCATGTTGCATGCACACGTGTTCCCTCGCCAGAGGCGTTCCCCCTTCCCCTTATAGTACCCACGGTACCCCATGGGTGTTTAGGCCTTCGTGGTAGTTGGGTTATAAAAAAAGTAACGAGATAAAAATCGCAAATCTGAGACCGAACCAGCGCGGCGGGAAAAAATCAGAGGTAACCATGACAGTAGGTGTAACAAATGAACAGGCGGCCACTCAGGGCCGGATCGCCAGTCGTTCCTACAATATTGTAGAACGCCTTTGTGGCGTCCTTGATTTTCATAGTATTTTCCCTCGTTCAGAGAGGCTGTGTCATAATCAGCGTTCTCCTATTGTGAAGATATATGTTTTCTTTTTGCATTGTAGGAAATTTCAGGCTGATAAAACAGATAATACAGGGTAGAGGCAGAGGAAACGCATGTTTTCTGAGTGAATAGTATTTCGCAAAGAGAACTGGATTTCTCACCGCCAGCAGAGAACACAGTCAATGCACTTTTAGCCATGGCACCGTGGACAACTGAGCATTGTGTTTGCCGTCGAGTAATTTTTCCGAAACAATGATTCTGTAGTTACCATGCAACGTTTATTCCGTCGTCAGTTCACTGTTCAACGCCAAAGGTCAATTCCAGATCGAAATACGATACTCCGATAGGTTGAGGCATTTCGAACTACTGGATCTGTAATGAAGAGGAAGCCACCTGGCCTTCCCCGTACCGTTCGAACACCAGGCAATATCGAAATAGTGAGAATAGCGGTCCTTGATAGTCCTCAATGGTCCACTAGGCGACAAGCTTCAGCTCTGCGTATGTCCCGTCGATCGTTACAATGCATTCTGCACGATCTACAATTTCATCCCTATAAGATAATGATTGGGCAAGAGTTAACGGAAAGTGATTTTGCACAGCGTAGACAGTATTGTGCGAGAATGCTGTCCTTTTTGCTGATGATCCTAAAGTAGTCATAATGATGAGTGACGAAGCACACTTCCATTTAACGAGATATGTAAACAAGCAGAACTGTAGGTATTGGGCGGCCGAAAATCCACGAGAACTACACCAACGACCCTTGCATAGTGAAAAATTGACTGTGTGGTGCGGAATTAGTAAATTTCAGTGTAAACATGGGAGAACTGTACTTCCAACAAGACGGTGACACAGCTCACTCAGCGAGAGCATCAATGGAATGTCTTTGACAAATGTTTCCTGAACATGTAATTTCCCGTTTCGGCGATCTTCCTTGGCCTTTCAAGAGCGGTTGGCGATATGCGAGCGCGAAGAAGGGCGACACTTGAGTGACATATTTTACCATAATTAATTTAAATGTGCACTATTATTACTTGAGACATAACCTCAAAACACATCGCTGACACGTAACATTAGGAAATCAAGGAGGCCATAAAGTCGTCCTGCAATTGTAGGAACGACAGACGATACGGCCCTTAATCATCGAAAAATTCCTAGAAATCTGGATGGCGTGCGTCAACGCGATGCACATGAATTTTGAAGAGCTATGAAAAGGCAACTACTATAATAGGCCTAAATAAAGTTATTTTTTACCCTTGTTGATTTATTGTAAGATTAATGTTGTGTATTAGACGGAGGTTGAAATTTTATTGGAAAATAACCCTAAATGAATTCTAAAAATGATCGTGGGCTGGTTCGTCGTTATTTTATTGAAGAATCGAGAAAAATACGTTTCGGCTGCCGGAGCAAGACGCATTAAGCATAGATTCTAAAGAGACTCAACAGGGGATTTTGTGTAATGTTTAGAATAAAACTGTAAATTCGTTGTTTTTCACTCGTGAAATACGGGATTCGTTATTTGCAAGTCTCTATGAGGCTTTTGTTACCATTTAAACGGATTTTTTCAGAATTTCGAAACAAAGGAACAAATACTTCTCAAAGCACATAGCGTGAAACTTTCCAAGTCATCGCTTTTATTAAGCCCCAAATTATGATGACAAATATTCACAAATGCCTTGGTCTCGCCAGATACATTTTTATGAAGCTACAACTTTTTTAAACAGACGATAATCATTCCCAAAATTGCATACCTAATTATAATTCCCCTGTGTCGATCCACAAAAAAATATATATTACAGGAAACAAACATCAGAACACTAATTCACGAAAGAACATTTTGAAAACGCGAAAATTCCGAGAGCTGGTCGCTCATAACCACAAAGCCAGAAATTTCACAGACTTCTAAACACAAATTTATGTACTAAAGGTTTGTTCTTACAGTGAGCGGTTGGTTGTTGGTGACTGTGTATGAGATCCAGGCGCATAAATTCCGTCTATATAGCAGAATGAATGTGTGGCGGGATCTTGGACACGGTCAGTGATAGGTTGGCGACTGCTGTACGAACAGAGCTTTTATATCCCAGACGACTACAGAAAAGAAGATCTCAAATTCATGTGGTTTTATCGACATGTAAACCACAGGATAAGATTCTGATGTTCCATTAGCATTTACTTATTTCGACGCAAAAATCTCGGACCAAAACGTTATTTGCCAATATGCGGAATGCCATAGTCTACGAAGGATACATTATTTGTGGTTATGATAATTATAGGATGCTCTATACAGGCGTTATTTATTTACTTGCATACCTAACGAATACCAATAAAGAAAACGGAAATGATTAGAGATTTCAGTAGGGTAATTTTGTTTATGTATTGGAATACCAAATTTGGCTTGCATCTGCAAGGGAGTTTATTTAATTGGGTACAATATTTCTCTAGATAATTTGTCAACTATTGATTAAATGTTTGAGTTTGTTTTTTGGGAAAATATGATGCCTAAATTACGAATTTTAGAATAAGAATTGATACCGAAACATTAAAAAAGGTCAACAGGAGAAGGCATGGAATTTTGTGATGTTGATTTCTTTCATAAAAAAACTCTTTAGGATATTATTAAATATTTTAGGGACTGATGTGATAGTGAATGCAGTACATCCAGGTGTAGTGGACACAGAATTATGGAGACACATGAGTTTTTACAAAAGCTGGATATCGATGATTTTTTTGAGACCTTTCGTTTGGCCTTTTGTGAAAAATGCAAGACAAGGTGCTCAACCAGTAATTCACTTAGCTCTGGATGAGAGGATTCAAAATGTTACAGGAAAATACTACAGGTAAAAATCTTATTGTACTGAACAAGATCATGTTCAACCAAGTAGACTGAACAAAGATCCTAAAGTAGAGAATTATGCAGGTAAATATTTAACTAAAAACAATAAAATCATTAATAGTCGGATAGGTGTACTCGCCAATTTTTGAAGGGAGATCCAACATCGACTCTTATTTGCTTTTAGCACAAAGTTTTGTTTTCAAATCCCCAATTGTGTATTCATATTTTGCTTTCGAATATTAATATGTTGATGATAATATACTTTGTTACAGCGGGAATAAAGAGGCAGATGTAAGTGAAGCTGGGCAAGATGATGAAACTGCAAAATGGTTATGGGCAGTCAGCCAGAAATGGACGAGGCTAGAAAACACCATATAAAGATAATATTTTTGAAAGATTCGATGAGACGATTATTAAATATTTTTGCTTACATAATTTGACCTTCTTAATAACAACCACATAAACAATGCTTTAAAATGAATTATGACTGAAATACTCCTCAGGGTCTTGCAGGGGAAGGTTTGAACTTTAATTTAGGTTCTCAAAAATGATGATTTTCACACGAATTTTCAAGCATTGAAGATTTTCATTTTTAGCGTTTTTTTAATGATGTAGCCTACCTGATGATAGCCAACCTGATACTACATTCCCACATGCAATACCATTGTTAGAGGTACTGTAGCATTATCTATGAGGATTTGTCAGAGTTCCTAATTAGAAATCTTCTTTTAGAAGACGGCGTTGTAGCTAACTATATTAGAGTATAGCATATATTTAGTTACAACGCTATCTATGAGACACTAACCTTTTCAAAGTAGATTTCTACTTAGTGCAGAGAGGGAAACATAGCTGTGGCAAATTCTCATATATGACGTTACAGTATTTCGTTTCATCTCGGATAATTCTTTGGACGCGGGTATATAGTATTAGGTCGGCTGCCTTCGGGTAAAATAGGTTAACCTACAATAAGGATCTTTTCTGGTCAGAAAGATCCAAAAAACTTTTAAAAAAGTTATTCGGAGCGAAAAAACAATGTTTTGCAGTTCTTGATTCATGTTAGGCACCATCCAGCAAACGTGATTATGAAAAACACTCAAGTCTGAGTAGTAGTAGATTTTTTCCAGCTATCATGCTAAAGATATATATTTTTGGAAACTCCTATTTTAAAGGCGAAACTATCAATCTTGTTATATCCAAATGGTAATGAAGGAATGATTTATGAAATTATAGGCATACTGGCCACCGTGAGGAGCCGGCGCATATCCCACTTAAACAGACCCTTATGCACCCCTACATTCCCTAAACCTCAAGCCCCGCCTTTCTAGCAAAGTTGAGTATACCCTTCAATCCCAGCTACTTAACGTTTTGCGGATCCAAAGTGATGAACCCCAGTATAGTCTGCCTGTAGTAGCTCAGAGCCTGTGCCGAGGTTTCGCCCTCTACCCCGCAGCGCTCACACAAGGGATCCTCAGTCACCCTCATCACATGCAGGTGGTGCCTCACCCAGTTATGACCAGACAACAATCCCAGCAGCAACCTTAGACGGAGATCTCTAGAGATGCTTCTCCATTTCTGAGAGTGTTGTCTTGCAATCTACTTCTCCTCCTAACTCTTTGCGCGGGCAGCCCTAAGGCAAGTTTTTCCCTGTGCCTTTAATAAATTTTGCTTCATTATCCTTCTAATTTAAGAACTTAATCGGTGAATCCAGAGTATTTGGGGTTTTAGTGTCAACTAAGAAAAATATGTCACAAAACATACATATTTGACAGGTTGAGGCAATATTTTGATTTTGACAGCTTTTATACCTACCAGAGGAAACTGTGTCGCTAGGGGGGTGATATTTAAACTACGAAAAATATAATTAAAACAAGATATGAATACAATTAGCTAAATAAATTCAAAAGTGCTTTATTGGAAATAACAAGTCTTCAATTTCATCGGTCTTGAAATAAGAGAAACTGTATGGATATATTGAGATCTCACAGACCCTTAGAGTAACGTTTGTGTTTGGGAGCTAGAAACGTCTTCGATAGCAGTTCGCAACTTGTTTCATCTTATATTCGAAATAAAGCATGATATTTTATACTATTTGGATGGTTTATCTCCATATTTGTTGATTTGCATAAGATTTTTTTTGCAGAAAATTGAAATCCCAAATATATGTATATTTACCCTAATGGAAATTTTTTGCCCTAATCCACCTTATAGTGATTGTGCCCCTCGTGGTATCTCCACCTTACCGTGGTGGGGGGCCATCCCATTCCATGGGGCAAAGAGTGATACCCCACCTAAAGCTACGGTGTGAGGCATCGTGCCTAGGGCTGCATGGCACCAAGGTGGTGAAAAAAACGGTGTCTCGAACGATCCCCTTGGGGCACCAGGTCGCACCCCATTGTATTTAGGCCTTTCGTCTACGTGGGGCTCCGTGGATGGCGACAGTTATTTCCCCAATACTCGTGGGAACAACATGGCAGAATTTTCTATACATAATCCAAATAAATACAATCATCGGCGATTGAAGTGCAGAGATCATCTAAATAGACGTCAAGGTCCGAGAAAAATTGCGTATGAGGAGGCTCAGGAACATTTGAGGGAGGAGAGGGAAGAATTCAAGAGATTGTTTGGGGATGAATATAATAGAGGAGTGCGGAAAAGAAGGCTTGAGGATGATGAAGATCAGCCGAGGGGAGATCTACGAGGAGCTAGGGAAAATAGGTATGTATATGAAGATATTGCAGGATATTAGTCGAGTTATTAATAGAAGTAATGGAATTTAGAAACATATTGTACAGTTACAGAGATATGTTACCAATACAAGTCAACAGGAAAACAAGCAAAAGGCATTGAATATTTCATTATGATATAAAAAATGCCTTCAGAATGGTACTAGAATTTTTAATATGATTTTTTGATGAATTTTAATAAGCTTTTACAAAATAGATGATTCATACATGTACTATAATTTAGTCTTGTAATACGAAATTTGTAATTTAGTCTTATATTACAAAAATTACAGAATATTATCAGGAAAACACGTGAACTGTTCCAGTCGTTTATTATTAAATTACATCCAGAAATTTCTCAGATCTTACACGTTTTCCAGTAGAGTAACTTTAAGATAGCTCTATAGAAAATGAAATCAAAAATGATTAAATCCAGAGGGCAAGCAAGCTAAAAGTGAGCTTTTTTACCTATCGAGAGATCTCCGTATGTTTCTGGTGAAAAGTCATCCACTTGCTCGATGTAACTCAACAAGGAATGGCCGTGATGAACCTGAAAGTGCTTTTCAAAATAGGCACCCATATATGCAGTAATGGACAAAAGTATGTAGACAAATATGAATATTTACCTAAATACCTTTAGAAAACGAATTCATACTTCATTGCTCCATAAACAAATGCGTTATTAGTAGAAAAACTAAATTCCTTGTTTTACATTATCTGCAATGAACACAATACAAGTCTGAATATAAACCCCAATTTTATATATATATATATACAGGGTGACTTCGAAGTTGAGTCATTTATTTTAACAGTGAGTAGATCTGATCAAAAGAAATGTTTTTTTCCTTTACCATTTTCCTGGTAAAATTAAAGTAACAAAGTTATAGCCCTTTGGAAGTTTGAGTACCGCCCTGTCTCAATAACAATATTATGTGGTCGTGTTTGGCGACAATGGATATAATCCGCCGTATCGGTTCATCGCATCGGAAACAAAAAAGCGAAAGAATTTGGAACGATGTTTTTACAGGTATCTCATTCATTTGTATACAGTTAGTGTCAGTGAATAGTGGTATGTGTTGCGTGGCTCAAACGAAATAAAAAATGGCACATGTTTATGCGGATCGGTTTCCCAATCGAGTGCAACCAACCCCTCGTGCCTTTGTTAATGTAGTACAACGGGCTTGTGAATCAGGTGACTTAAGACCTCACAGGGGACCTCACGATCAAATACAGGTCCGCACTGAAATACTTGTCGGGAGGATACTTTATAAAACAAGGTAAAAATTTTTTTTTATTTTTTTTTTTATTTTTACACACATATTTTGGTTTATCTTCCTTCTACAATCATTATCTGAAAATTAATGACTCAACTTCAAAGTCACCCTGTATATATATATATATATATATAACTTGAGACGTGGTCATTGTCGTCTAAACCAGTTAGGTGAAAAATTAAAGCTTCTGCCTTTTGTTGGGTACTTCGACAAAATTTAAGCAAAGAGGACTCTTTATACTTTTTTTAATTCTCTCTAGCTTTCAATGGACTTTGCCATCATGTTTTCTAAATAATTTTTAATCTGTCTTTAACTTGTCTTGTCATATTTTATATAATTTTAACCATTGTACCATGTATCCAGCTCTCACCATGTTACTGGACGTTTCCCTCATCCTATACGAAAACAACAATTAGCAACATCCTCACATCCTCCTGATGATGATGGCAAAGTCCATTGAAAGCTAGAGAAAATTAAAAAATGTATAAAGAGTCCTCTTTGCTTAAATTTTGTCGAAGTACCCAACAAAAGGCAGAAGCTTTAATTTTTCACGTAACATATATATATATATATATATATATATATATATATGTGTGTATAACTTGAGACGTGGTCATTGTCGTCTAAGAACCAGTTAGGTGAGAAAGCTTCATAATTTAGTTGGGTACAAGATTAAAGTGATGAGGACTCTTTATACTTTATTAAAAAACACACACAGCTGTATGTCAGGAACACATCACAACGGATTAAAAATATTTTGGAATGGAAGCTAAAATTTTAACATATATTACATCGTGAACAACCACCTGTGCAGCATGAGCATTTCGAAATGGTCAAGATATCAATCTAAAATTTAGAGCTATGAAATGTGTGCATGAATCATAATGCACCCTGGAAGATTTTTTTAAATAGAACCTGAAGCTGCTTGGAGTAAAACTCCACTATGTTTTAAAATGACGGCTGTTAAGGTTGAGTGTTCTATACTAACTAGTCATGGGAACGATAGTACACTACTTTTTACACGCAGAACGTATAGGTGGCGCCCTTAGACTGTGGCCGTATCGTCTGTCGTTTCTACAATTTATTGTAGGATGCCTCTATAGCCTCCTAGATTTTGATTAGCTTTTCCTATCATTCAGTCAGGCTGAGGTATTTCTAGATTTCTACTGTTCCGTGTCAGCGCTCTCCTATTGTGAAGTTATGTTTTAATTTTGAATTGCATGAAATATCAGGCTAATAAAACATACGATATAAATGAAAAGCATGAACAACTTGATGCAAATAGCTATTTGTGAATTAACCTCAAAATAGGCAGGACAGTAGAAAACTATGAAAATCAAGGAGGCCATAAAGGGGTGCTACGATATTGTAGGAACGACTGACGATATGGCCTTAATTTATACCCGAAGAAGATTATACGAGCCCCTTCCCACTTCAGTTGGCCCACTTCAAGATTTTACCAAAATATGCCTTTATAACCTAACCATGACGAAACTATTTACTTCTAAAACAATTTATTTTCTCAAAAACATTTTGGATACACTCTTGTCGTGAAAAATACACATTTGAAATCACTTAGACCTATAACTAATAGAACATCTGAACAAATAAACAATGTGCCAATAAATGCGCGAAATTAACAAAGCAACAATTGAAAGATTACCATTGGGTACATTACCTTTATTTTTTATTACGGCTGAAATTCTTTGGGGCATAGTGTTAACCAAGTTTTGGCAAACATTTGGTGTAAAACAATCCCATATTTCTTGAAGCTTTTGTCTCTGTTCGGTGATTGTACGAGCAGGATGTTGTCGTAGAACCTTTTTCATCTCGTGCCACAAAGTTTCATAGGTGACAGATCTGGACTGCTAGAAACCCATTTCAAAAGTGGTACATATTTTCTTCCATCCATTTTATAGCCTTTTTTGAGGTATGGCTCGCTGCACCATCTTGCTGAAACACAAAATCTTGACCGGATGTCAAACATTCTTCTATCACTGGTGAAAGCGATTCTTCTAAAATTGCCTAATATTTGTTTGTATCCACATTTCCATCAATAAAATGAATTTTTCCTACTCCTTTTGATGACATACTGCCCCAGACCATAATGGATGCTGGAAATTTCACTTTTCTCTTCAGACAGTCAACATGGAATGCTTCATTTTTTTGCGAATAACTCGACTGCGACTGTCAGCAACACAAACTTCGAATCGGGCCTCATCACTCCATTGTATTGCACACCATTGTTGAGGTGTCCATTGTCTATGTTCTTTAGCCCATCTAAGCCGATTTTTCTTTTGCAGTGGAGTTGATAGTGGCTTTTCTTTGGCCTATAAACAAGTTGTGCAACTTTAGGGTTTTTACTTCACTTTTTTATAAGAAAACTTACCTTGCAAGTGCTAAATCCCAGTTTGTGGGCCTCTCTATGAGTTGTGGACCTCGAAATTCTCCTTCCAACAGCGTCACTCCACAGAGCACTTAATTGTAAATAATTGGCACGCCTGTTTTTCACGATTATTCTTCTTAATGCTCTTCGGTCGGCATTTGTGATATTACTTTTTTGCACATATCGTGGCTTAATATTAACTGAACCAATTACGTTATATCTTCTGACAATATTTCTCACACTGTACCGCGATAAGTCTAACAAAGTTGCAATTTCTGAGTTTGATTTCCCAGAATTAAAAAATTTAATTATCAGTAACCGAATTTTCTCACTAATAACCTTTCCTCTACCCATTTTGAAACCTTAACTACCCAAAACTATTTCAAACGTATTCTGACAGCTGTGATTAATAAATACAATCGTCATGGCTTTTATTTTTCACAGCCACCTATGCGTTATAGACTTATTTTGCATTGAAATGAAAATAGGTTGATATGCTGTAATTGCAACATGTGTTATTATTATGCTGCAAATTTGATTAGGGAGTGATAAAGTTGGTGTTTTCTACTATATATTATCAAAATATTCATTGTTAATATTTTAAACCTATAACACCCTACATTTTTATTATTTGTGTTTGATAAGAAAAAAACTAAGATTTCAATAGTTGGGCCAACTGAAGTGGGAAGGGGCTCTTAGACATGGTTTTATCTGCGAACTCATCGTCGAATTTGTCTATATTTACAGAGCGTCTGTGATATACCCGAACACCCTGAAAACTTGATAACCAAGCATTTTTTGGAAAATAAGGTTATAAGAAACGTTCTAAGATAACAAAAGTAATCTGTTGATGACCTCGAAATGATATCTAAGGGCTGCATCACCAGTCGTTCCTACAATTGTAGGACGAATTTATGGCCTCCTTGATTGTCATAGTCTTTCCCCTCCTTCAAAAATGTCTAGATTGCACCTGTTCCATGACAGCGTCAGCGCTCTCCTATTGTGAAGTTATGTTTTTTTTTAATTGTAGGAAATTTGAGCGTAATAAAACATGATATAAATCAAAAGCACGACCAATTTGATATAAATAGATATTTGTGACATCGTTTGGAATATACTTGTACTATCCGAATATGATACTCCATTCCGTTTAAATATATTAAGGTGGCACCTGTCCGCCATCTTGGAATGTTCAACTTCTTCACCCCGAACTTCAGCCTGCTAGCTTGAACCATTCAAAAGCAAGTAAGAGGGACCTTTTAGAAAAGCACTGTATAAATACAGGGTGTTACTTAAACTGGTGACCAAACTTTAAGAGATTTCAAAATTTCTAAGACGAAAACCTTATACCAGGAGTTTCAAATTCGACAAAGTCGCTTGAATGAGGGCAAAGTTGCGTACTTAGGTAACTAACAAAATGTTCAGAAAGTTTTGAAATTCAAGGTTGATAGAAACTAAAAAAAACGAATTTTCCCAAAACAGTTTTTATGTATTCCTGTCTTTATTTGTAGTGGGTTTTGAAAATAAATTGCACATTAACATCGACACTTTTTCTTCTTAACAAAATGGCATAATTAAAATTTCAGTATGACGTTTCGCCTCTTGTCCTCCAGCACTAACTTTTTTCTCAAGGACGGCATATTGATTTTTACTCAGGTGATTCTGATTTCCAAAATGTAAAATATGTCATACATTCACATTGCCAAATCTAAGTTATTAAAAAAAACAGAATTTCCTAGGTAGGCCGTGGGATATCAGTCATTTATTTCATATCATACCCCGATTTATCGCCCAATCATTTTTATTTTTTCTTGAGTTTATTTGAGATGGGATTTCAAAATGTTATCATTATCATCAAAGTTGGTGATGGAAGTCGAAAGTAGACATCGCGAATTTTAAATTAGACTACGCCTTCTTCTAGGTAGTGATAAAAACGACATGAATACAGTATTTTGAAATCTCATCACAAATAAAGTAAGGAAAAAATAAAACTGATTTTGCGATACATCTGGTATATGAAACAAATTACTATCTGATAATTTCAAGGCCTACCTAGGACATTTTGTTTTTTTTTAAATAATTAAAGTTTGACGACGTCTACATTAGTAGAATCAGAATTAAAAAAAGGTCTATTCACTTGTGTAAAAATTCAATATGGCATGATTAAGAAAAAATAAAGTTGATGCTGAAGAACAAGGCACGAGACGTCATATTGAAGGTCCAATTATGGTATCTTGTAGAGGAGGAAAAGTGGCAATTTTATTGTGTAATTTACAAATGAAGTCATAAAAACGTGAAAACGATTTTGGGAAAATTCGAATTTTTCCGCCTCTCATAGGAAACACTTTGAATTTCTCTGAGCGTAATTTTGTTAGTTACCTAAATACGCAACTTTGCTCCGATTTAAGTGACTTCGTATCCTTTACTGTTTCCGAGATCCCAATGATGAGGGTCGAACTTGATACACCCTGTATAGACATAGGTTTAGTATAATGCTTCGTTGTCATGAAACAGTGCAAATCTTTTTTATATATAGATTAGTTTTAGTTCCTAACGTTGCCTCTACTTGTGCCAAATTTTAACAAAAAGTGTTGGATTGAAAAAATGTTCTTAAAAAAAGTAAAAATCCAAACTTATGGTCATAAAAACTTTAATTTTCAGCAAGAGCGTCCCCAGGGAGGGCGTGAAAAATGTAGTGAAATGCTAATCAGTAAAATTCATAAGTGCACTCACTTAACGTGCTTAATCGATCATCCCCGCACGTCGAAACTAGAACGAATTCACCTTTGCTGGTATTCAAATTCAAGTTACAATAAATATAATAACATAATTTAAGTTTGATTTACTGTACAGCCAGGAGCTCTTGGAGATTCACACATTGGACTTTATACTGTATATATCACAATCACCATATTACACGTGTAAATTTGATGTGCTATTGACTTTACCTACATTTTATACATTTCTCATTCATCCGATGAACTTGACCCCCCCCCCCCCCCTCTCCCTCCCCTGGGCGATTGGCTGGCGACACCCTTGGTTCTCAGAAACTCAAAAGGAATTGAAAGTTTACTTACTTTAGCAACACGCTGTGTACTGAACTATAATCTGTGCTATAATGAAAATTTCTTATTAAGGAACCAAGGAGAAGGAAGAAGTTGGAGATCTGAGGACAATGATCAACAAAGAGGAAACCATAGAGGAGGAAGATTTGAACAGTATGATGGTAAAGAAAGGAACCAAAGACCACCAAGGGGGCAGGGTTTTAAGGAGAATGGAAATTGCTCGAGAGAACCTCAGGGAAGTACAAGAGGAGCAAGGTTTAAGGTAGAAGATTACCAAAGAGGAGACCAAACATTTTCGAGAGTGCAGCGCTATGAAGGGGATGTTAGTTACCCAGGAAGACCTCAAAGAAGGCCAAGGTTTGAAGTGGAAGGTTATCAGATGGGAGAGCAGACGTTTGAAGTACAAGCCCGGGATGACTCGAGAGATTTGAATATTTGTTTTGAACTTGAACTATTGGAACGTGAGAAACTTGAGGTACGTCGACTAGAAGCAAAGCTGCAGAGAGTTTTGGGAGATGCTGGTCCAACCGAGAGGTAAAGGATACAATTTTTATTTGATGAAACTATAGTACTTTTCTTTAGTGCAAATAATTTAAATAAGGCGCTACGGAATCTTTAAAAAATACAAAATCATAAGATATATTTCATTTAATATACAAGTCTACTAAACACTCTAAAACTTGGCATTTTCTGGAAAAAACGTCTTAAGAAAACAGGGTATCAAAAAATTAATTTTTCGATTACCTCAAGTATGATCAGGACAATGTCCTCAGAGGTCATTTGGAAGGACAATTTTGCAAATTCAAAAAGCAACCACCATTTTTGACAGTAGATTCATGCCAAGCTCGACATCTTACGTCAGAATCCATTTCCATACGAGGTCAGGCGATCTTAAGTGGTTCCCGACCTACTGTGACATCTGAAAAGTACACGAACATCCTGAAAACTTGGTGACAATGCTTTTTTTTAAATTAACAGAAAACTTTCAGGGTATTAAATACGCAAATTTGTCGCTGACCTCAAATATGATCTAGACAATGACCTTGGTCAATTGGAGATCAACTTTGTAAATCCAAATAGCAACTACCATTTTTGACAGCAGATTCGTGCCATTCTCGAGATTCTAGATCAGAATGCTCTTCATACTTAAGGTCAAGTAGACGTGAGTGGTATAGTCAGAATGGCCTACTGTAATGTCGTGAAAAGTACACGACCACCCCTAAAACGTAGCAACCACGTACTTTTCCTCGTCCTGTATAGTCAGAGTGCAGTACATGTCATAACAACATTATTTTTTTATCAGAACTTTATTTCAAAAGTTCTTAGTTAGCATATGCGGTATTGGCTTTTCAGTGTCAACTAAGAAAAATAGCTTATTTTGTTTTCATATTCATTACGTCGCGGGATTATATGACATGTGATACATATTTGACAGAGTCAGGTGATATTTTGATTTTGACAACTTTTATAGGATACGTGGTGCCAGGGGGGTGACGTTTAAACTATCAAAAAGTTAATTTAAACGTGATATAAATAACATTGACTGATCAAATGCGATAGTTATATAACGTAGTATGCGTAGTAATCGTATGGACTAAGAGTTCACGGACCATCTCTGTAACGGCTGTGTTTGGATGCTAGCAGTTGTTTTGATACCGGGTCGCAGCCGTTGCTTTTTATTATAACGAAATGACAAAAAGAAAGTCGGAAAGAAGGGTAGTAACAAAAACATTCAATGACCTCAAAAAAAATTAACAGACATTGACTATTCTGTTGTTGTATGCGATTCATGACTTTTGTATTTAGGAATCGCTGTTTTTTACATAGTAATAGTAATGTACTACTGAGATCCACAATCCATAGACATTATGTCCCTACCCTACCGGTAGTCCATCTGGAAACGTCGCTTCTCCCCGATACTTAACTCGGTCAGACGTGGAAGCGCGGTCAGAGCATAGAAAACACTATGCTGTGACGCGGCAGAAATACGTGTGATACTATAACAGAACAACTGAACACTTCACAGTCGCGACCGGTAGGCAAGCGATCCGTCTGCCGAGAACATTTTTTCCAAGTTTTAAGGGCTACTGTACAGAGAAATCTATGATGTGTGAAATATGTCTAAATTACCAAGCTTGGGAGCGTATAAATGTACTAGCATCAAACAATTAACATAAACCCTTCCCACCGCTCTAAAACCCCCACTCCAAGATTTTTTGCCTCTAATTTTTTTTCATAAATGATCAGGATCCTTTCTTTTGGGGGACTTTGAGGCTTTACTCATATACGAGTTATCCCAGAATAAGTATTCATATTCATATGTTTGAGCACATATACATATTATTATCAAAAAATCCCACATAGGAACAGCCCTGCTCGCGTCCTTACGACGAAACAAAGGTCGACATTGGAAATCGTTCTTTTTTTTAATAACTTCAAAAAAATACTGTATAATTCAAAAATTATTCAAGAAAAATAGATTCCCCAGAACGTCTTTCTGGATACGCGAGTCTTACAATTGAGTGAAAAACAAATACTTTATTTCAGTGAATGCTATGACGATTCAAATGAAGAATACTATGATGACAGAGATGGTGAGACACACGAAGAGGAAGATGATGAGGAGGAGGAAGAGGATCACCATCTTGAAGAGCAATCAAGGCATGCTGTTAGTGAGTACCCAGTGCCTCCTCATGTTGAAGCTGCGATTTTTCGGAGCGATAAAGATATTGAAGTTACATCCTACCATTCTGAAGATGAGATTGGATGGAAATTCAGGAAGGTCCTGGAAAGATGTAAGCTTTCTTTCCCTTTATGTTGTATTGTGTTTCTAATCTAAATCTCATAAATTCGGACTGTTCCGGAGCCCATTTTCTAAGAACTAATATATATACTATTCTATGAGTATTGCCATCAGTTGTATGTATATCATATGTAGCTAATTTTTTTCTTAAATCAAGATGTCATTTGTAACCCATTAAGGTTCGCTGACCAAGTGTTCTTGCTGCATTCGATAGTAACGTATTCTACCTGAAGATAGCCAACCATATACTATATTCCGGCTAGTGATGTGTAGTTCGCGAACAAACTAGTTCAAACGAACGATTCTTATGACTGAACTAAGCGAACTAGTTCATCATTCCTCGAAAAACTCATTCACTCGGCCATCCCGAACGACTGATATTAAAGAATCCTGATGACCCAAGCGAACTAGTTGTGAGTGAACGAACGAGAACGAGGTAGGACAAGATACCACCGTAAGCAACTAAGTAAGCATAAGATTGTATAACTGGTTGCCTGGATACAAACGTGGTTTAGTTCGAGGATATCGAACAGGACAAATGAAGTCAGCATGAGATAGCGCAAAGCGCCATCTATCGTACCAGAATCGAACCATTGTAACTCGCGGACCGCTGCTATTAGTTGGAACCGTTGCAGTTCCTGTTCAATAGCAGTGCCGCTAAATGGCTGAATATTCTGACAGAATGCAGAAGGGTCTGCTAGCCTCATAGAACAGGTCAATTAAAATGAGATGCCTTCGTCTGTCCGACCAAGAAGCACGAAACAACTGTCCATGGTTGGCTGTCTTCTTTTCTTGGTCGGACAGACGAAGGCATCTCATTTTATTTTGACAAATGAAGTTACTTAAAATGGTAATAACAAATGCTGTAAATTACAAAAGCTGAAAGAAATAAAAGTTAGCTAACTTTGATATAAAATATCGCCCGCTGAGGCTAATGAAAAAATTAAAGCAATTCTGAAAAAATTGCAAATTTACATTTTTGAGCTTTTTCGGCTTTAGTCTATTCCTTCTTTCTGATAACAGCTTTCGAAAAAAGTCGCTCGCATGGCACAGGTGTCGCTATAAGACTCCGTTTTTTGGCCATCTCAAATGGTCTGGGACAGACTTTTGCTCTTTCTTAGCAACACTTCAGGGTATCCTCTGTTCTCGGTGATACCGGTTCTTTGGAATATTTATCCAGTTCGATAAATCCTGCTCTCACTGGATTTTGAACTACGGAAAGACATTCTATCTCAAGGTCAAAATGGTCCCAAAGTCTGTTTTCCTTTTCATCGATTCATTTTATCATTTCCCGCTTATATTTCGTCTGTAATACTAAAACAGCATCGTTCCTCGAAAGGAGGACATCTAGCAACACTAATCAAAGGTATGTATTATTTACTAAAAATCTTTTGCAGTGGCGAAAATAAAAAACTGCGCCCCTCATTATCTGAGATTATTAGAAAATGTATATATCTCGTAGATACATCTACTATGTGAGCGACAGTTTACGGAAATCATTTAAGTTTTAAACATCCGGCTTATAAAAAAAAAATTTAAACAAAAAAAACAACAATATAAGGTGTTAGGAAGCAGTTATCCGTCCAAATACCATCCGCGCCCGGCGCTGCTTAACTCCTGCGATCGGCAGCATTTTCTTAGGAGTTATGTAGTATTGTTGCGTAAAATAGTTCGTTCGCGGGCAAGTTCCTAGAACTAGTTCCGGCGCCCAAAACGATATCTGAAGAGATGGTAGCAGAACACAAAAATTAATTCAGAAATCTACCTTGAAAAGAGTTCGAGTATTCTGATCCTTTTTGGCGTCTCTCTGATGTGTATTTTAAAAGGAGATTGGCTTATGTATTCCACCTGAAGATACCCAATTAAAATGGGCATTAAAGAGGTGCCAAAAAGGGATTAAAAATCCTAGTGACATCTATGAGACAGTAGCAGAACCATACAGGTGTGTGGAGTTCTAAATTCATGTTTGTAATCTGCTACTGTCTTTCTTTAAGCCCCCTTTATTGGCGCCGAAATACAGTATATGGTTAACTATCTTCAGGTAGAATACGTTCGTCATTGGTAGTGTAGGGGTGTATCGAGTAAGACGCAAAGAGGAATTACTCGCGAATTATCGTATCGGTTCTAAACAAAAATAAAATCGAATTACTACTTTCAATCAAAATATATAAACGTTTCAGATAACGAAGATCCAGAAAACGGTTGGTACGGAACAGAGAAGCCTCAAAGTACTAGTTGCAGTAACGTCAATCAATGCAACACAGATGTTGGAAGGTTATCTTCAAGACCTACCCAAAATAGGTATATAATTAAGATTTATATTGCTACATAATGACACTGTCAACCAAATTTTAATACTCAAGCTCTATCAAAATAACGAGCGTCATTTAAAAAAAAAATGAAAAAAATGGAATATTTGAAATGCCGAAACGCACCGCTATTAGCGTGACGTCACCATTCGCGGATTGTGACCAGCCAACCCTTTGTTGATTGGTGAGATCGATTTAAAATGGCAAGCCTTTGTTCTGACTGTCATTGACTGTCAGCCTGTCAGTTTGATGTGTGATCAGATCGAAAGAATACAGAGATCTATCGATTTGTTTTTACAATGTTCATGGACTTACTTTTCAAGTATAGCCCTTCTGAGTGCAATCAATAATGACTGAAACTGGTTTTCAAAAGACATAGTCGGATACATATTGTCTTAAACACTGGTTTTTCATTAGCGGGGTGTTAAAGCTGCAATGCGAGCGAGAGGTACATATTTGATTTACATTAACTACCAGCTTTTAAGTGTGATTCTTAGCAATACACATAGCCTACAAATACTAATATACAGGGTGTTCCTTAATGATATGCGAATATTTAAGGGTGTGAATCTACATGAAAAATTAATGTTAGTTTGCTTTATAAACTATGGTCCAAAAATGTTTCCTTGAACAAACTCGGGGTGTTGAAGTTTTATGAAAAAACTGGAAATTAATTAATATTTTCAGAACCGCTTCAGATATTTCACTGATATTTAGTACGTAGTGAAAGTTAATAAAGTTGCATATTTTTCAATGCAAAAATAATTTTTAGCTTTAAAAGTGGCGTGCGTACGGGTATTGACTTCGATATTTTTTAAGAAAAAATGGTACTCCAATGGTTTTTTGCCAAATATATTATAAATATATTATTTTTGAATTCCCAGTTCAATTTAAAACAAATGATCTCTCTTAAATTGTTTTCCCTCGATGCGCCATTTTTGAATAAACAAATAAAAACCGTTCTATTGTCTAACTTGCAAAATTATTATTAATTTAATTGGAAAAATTAAACACATTAGGGGTAATGAACAACAACAACTGACAACATAAACATATCATTAAAACCAACGAAATGATTAGGTACAAAAATTGTTGAAAATGGCCCCCTTCACTTAGTAGGCATGCTTCCGCCCTCCTTCTCATGGAATTGCGCACTCGTTGAAATATCGCTGGAGTGCTTTTTATTATATCACAAGCTGCAACTATTCTTTCTCTTAATTCCTCTACAGTGTTAGTGGGACTTGTGTACACTTGTGTCTTAAGATAGCCCCACAAAAAAAAATCTAAACTGTTGAGGTCTGGAGACCTTGGAGGCCATTCTTGGGGCCCATCGCGGCCAATCCAACGATTTAGATAAACAGTTTGAAATTGGTTACGGCATAGAAATTTTCTTCTGCCCACAAATGGTTATTGAAGAAATTCTGAATGGCATTTCGAGAAAAATTAGCTTCGTCCGTGAACAGAATCATTAATTCAAATTGCGGATTTTGTGTAATTTTTTGAAGATACCACTGACAAAAGTCACACGCCTTGGAAAATCAATGGGAGGTAATGCCTGTACTCTTAAAATATGGTAAGGATATAACAAAAAAATCTACTAAAATTCTCCAAACAATTTGATGGCAAATATTTAAGTGTCTTCCTGGAGCTCGTTTCAGGATGTTCTTCGACTTCGTGCAGCACTGCTTCCTCAATTTCAGGTGTTCTCACACTTAGAGGTCTACCTTCAGATGTTCCTTTTCAGACAGAACCAGTTTCAGTAAGACGACGATGAATATTAGAAAAGGTTCGACTCTCTGCCAAAGCACGATCGGGATATCTCTGGTGATAAATCCGTCTGGCTTGCTCACCATTACCGTCGGCAAGGCCATATACGTAATGCATTTCCGCCATTTCTGCATTTGAATAATTCACCATTATTAACAAGATTGTAAAAACTAAATAATGAAAAAGATGTTACAGCGGACAGATTTGAATAGCAGAGACTTGTCAGATGTCAAAAGCCAGTGACATATTCCAGAGCAGCTAGATATTTATAGCTAAATTCCATTCTTCAATTATTACATTAATTTCCTCGGACAATTCGAGAGAGATCATTTGTTTTAAATTGAACGGGGAATTCAAAAATAATTTTAACTTGGCAAAAAACCATTACCGTACCATTTTTTTCTTAAAAAATATCGAAGTCAATACCAGTACGCACTCCACTGTTAAAGCTAAAAATTATTTTTGGATTGAAAAATATACAACTTTATTAACTTTCACTACGTACTAAATATCAAAGAAATATCTGAAGCGGTTCTGAAAATATTAATTAATTTCCATTTTTTTTCCTAAAACCTCAACACCCCGAGTTTTTGTAAGGAAACATTTTTGGACCATAGCTTATAAAGCAAACTAACATTAATTTTTCATGTAGATTCACACCCTTAAATATTCGCATAGCATTAAGAAATACCCTGTATACTTCGAAGTTGAGTCATTTATTTTAACAGTGAGTAGATCTGATCAAAAGAAATGTTTTTTTCCTTTACCATTTTTCTGGTAAAATTAAAGTAACAAAGTTATAGCCCTTTGGAAGTTTGAGTACCGCCCTGCCTATTATATGCTCGTGTTTGGCGACAACGGATATAATCCGCCTGACCGGTTCATCGCATCGGAAACAAAAAAGCGAAAGAATTTGAAACGTTTATCACGATGTTTTTCGTCAGTCGATAAATCCTGAGTGAATAGTAGTGTGTTGCGTGGCTCAAACGAAATCAAAAATGGCACATGTTTACGAAAATGCTGAACTTGTGGACATGATTCTTATTTACGGGGGGGCAGTCTTTACAAAATGCTCCCGGATGCATCACGGATTTATGCGAATCGGTTTCCCAATCGAGTGCAACCAACCCCTCGTGCCTTTGTTAATGTAGTGCAAAGGGCTCGTGAATCAGGTGACTTAAGACCTCACAGGTGAGGGCATGCTGCTCCAAGACCGCACGATCAAATACAGGTCCGCACTGAAATACTTGTCGGGAGGATACTTTATTAAACAAGGTAACATTTTTTTTTTTATTTTTTTTTTATTTTTACACACATATTTTGGTTTATCTTCCTTCTACAATCATTATCTGAAAATTAATGACTCAACTTCAATTTTTCAACTTTAATTTTACAAACAAATGGTATGTTAAAAACTCGACAACAAACTGACAAATAAAGAAATTAAATGACATTTTGGAAACTGTGACGTCACGGCGAAGCACGCCAAAAAAAGAGGCTTTTATGTCAACATTGCAGTTTTATGTATTTAGTTAAATATGAATATATAGGCATTTCCATGAATGAGATAAATGTTTACTGTATTATATTAACGTAGGTAATCGACAGCGAATACAAAAAAATATGCATATTCTCTATTGTTGCATTAACCTCAGAAGTTACAGAAATATAACGACAGAAGTATATTTTGCTAAATGTTATTGGGCCGAGAACAATTTTTTTTACAAAAGCACCTCTCAGAATCTTCAGCTATTTTTTAGTTCCCACTGGCAAAGAAGTATTGTGATCGCAAAAAATTTCGAAAATGAGATATTAGGTTCTTTTTTGGATGTTATATGACATGTACATCACAAAAAAACATGTCACTTATTTCCGTCAGTATGTCTGCCTGTTCGCTAATCCTTAGCCTGTCTATAACTTGTTAAGTACTGCTCGGATTTGAATGAAATTTTTACACAAGGTTACTACTAAGCCAAGGACGAAGGAGCAGTTTTTAAAAGTCGGTCCAGTAACATCAGAGAGGAGGGTGATGAGGAGGGTATATCTTAATTTCTTGATGGTAGTATATTTATAGGCCCCCTACGTTGGTAATTATACGCACCTATTAGACATATTTCACGATCATAGATTTCTCCATCCATTTGCCCTTAGAATGCTAGAGGAATACTTTCGATATGGGCTCCTGCTTCTGCTCCCTGGGTTCACCTTCGATCTTGTCGATCTTCGTAACTGTCCTGGCATCACTGCCGCGTCTGACGCGTCGTGAGGTCATCTATCGGGGAGAGCCGACGTTGCCAGATGAACGGTACTACCGGTAGGGCAGGAAAATAATGTCTATGGATTAATTTTGCCAGTTTGACTGACTTGATACTTCTAATTTCTCTGTTATACACGTTCTTAACCAACTTTTTTCTCACTTGTATTGGACATAATCGTTTATAAACTGATGACGGCGTTGCGTGGGAAGTGCAGGGTCAACCTACTTGACGCCATTTTCTTAAATTAGTAAATTGAAGATCTGAACACGCAGATCTAGAGTGTCTATGAACCCAAAGTTCTTACAATGGGTAATTCACTGGATACATAAGCATATTACGTTACAACATGGTGCGAGTGCCTTCAAAAATGATTCAACAAAAATGAGCACTTGAATAACCTAAGCTGAAGTTTAAGGATATTTTTTCATTAAATTCTGTACTACATCTAGTTAAGTAGTGTAAATACGGGCTTTCAAAAAATATGATATTAAATGCATTATTCTTATTTGCAAAAAGATTGGGATTTCCGCCATGTTGGGGGAGTAAATTTTGAAAACATTTTTTGAACAACTTGACCGGCAGGGATATGTAAAAAACCTAAAAAACCACGAAATGTCATCTTGCATACTAGGTAGTATTTATTGTGCAAATAGTTGATTCCGCGTTTGCTCGGTGTGATCGCTGTTCACTGACGTTTAAGCAGCACGTACAGCTATAAAACAAGTTGACAACAAGTATACAACAGCTAGTACTAAGTTAACATCTTGTGGAAAAACCTACATGATATCACAAAAAATCTACGAAGTGTCAAAGAAAAACCGACAAAATTTCACTTTTCAAGATACGTAATACCCGGCGTGCGGCACCGTGTCGATTTTTTTGACGTTTCATAGGTTTTCGTAACATAACGTAGGTTTTTCTACGAGATGTCAACTTAGCAGTAGCTGTTGTGCACTTGTTGTGAACTCGTTTTGTAGCTGTACGTATTGCCTAAACGTAATATGCTTCAGCTATCAATGTTTGACTCCGGTATGATGTAACATCTGCTTCAGAGATGGCATTATTGGAGGTCTAAGCTGCAAATTCTATACTATAGCTGGAAGGAAACGGCAGTGCATAATAATCTGTGTTGATGATAATTCCATTGGTTTCTTGTCTCAAATATAATTACTTGAGATGTATTTAATTCTAGAAATTATTTGCGCATCCACTTTTTCTTATTTATTCTGGAAATCGCATATGCAAATTTGCTTAATTTCAAAAATGAGAGAGATAAGAAAAGAAAATCCCTGGTTGCTGAAGTAATTAAGTTTATGTGGAATCGTATATCTTATACTTACATACTGCCACATATTGCAATTATATTCACTGTACAAGTCACATACATGCTAACAGTAAAATCGTGATTTATAACTTTGAACATAACCTGTCCTCAGAAAGACAACATATAAACAACCCGCCGGGTACAGCTAAGTATATACCTCATTGGCAGCATATTTAGCAATAATTTTCTTACATAGCAAATATCACTGGTTTTATACAGATGCAGACCAATACACATAATCATCCAGATGCAATCTTGCTACTCAACCAACTTCCTTTCTTTCACATCTTCTCAGAGATAAACACTACTTGGCTTTCTGCAACCAACAATGCATGTTTGAGCGTGCGTGTCGTTGAGTCATTCCTCCATAGATGGTCGCTTTCTTTTGAGACAGCGAACGTGAAATGAATTATTTGCACACTAAAAACTACCTAGTCTGCAATATGACATTTTATCGTTTTTTTTAGGTTTTTTACAAATACTCCTGCCGATAGCATTTAGCAAACGTAGCATTCTTTTGAAACCATAAAAAAAATTCTCCCAACCGAGCTTAGATTTTTTATTCCACACGGTGTACGTTATATTTTAATAGTTCACTTGAACCAATTTTAGGCCTAGCACTCCACCATCTAGAGCTAAACCAACCTCTCAAGCTACAGATGATCCTGACTACAAATTCATCATCGTAAGCATGGGCCACCCTGAAAACCCCATAGGCCGAAGGGTCCAGTTCCGCAAATTAAGACAATTTCTACACGAACCATGGAAAATCAGAGGCTGGGCTACACTTCCTCTAGAGAAAAGGCAGATTTATGGAATCAAAAATGTCACTTGGGATAAAGGAATAGTGACAATTAATTGCAGTAATCCTCAGACTCGGGATTGGTTAGTCAGTTCTGTACCTTATTTGAAGCCTTTTAGAGGAGCTAGTTTGAAGATTATTGAGGAATGGGAGGCGCAGGCTGATCCTGAAGGAATAAGAAGGGCAGATGAATTTTATATAAAACACTTTGCAGATATTGGATCTTCAGTTAGAACGACAGGTGGGTTTCGGACTAGTGACAGATAAACAATTTCTTAGAACTAACCTTTTGGCATAAGTCACAGAAGAGAGGCTGCATGACGGGAATGTAAGCATAGATTTGTTCCAACAAACCATCGAAATACTGCTGAACTGAACAGAAAATGCGCAAATCGAAATTACAGTTCCAACTGAAATTAAAGCTGATTCCGTAGCTGGCAGTTCTCTGTTCCAACAAATTCCGAATCGGTTCCGAACTGGTTCTAACAGTTCTGGATCTAAGAGAGGAGTAAAGTTTCGAATTTTTAGCACATGCGCGCTTACAAAAAACCCGCGCCGATCAGCTGTTCATAGCTGAGAAGCTGGATTTTGTGGCTCTCTTTTAACTTTTCTCTCTCAAAAGAGGTATGGTGGAGATCAGGTTGGAACATATTAAGCTGATTATATGAATTCCAAGAACGAGAATTGAAAGTTACATTGCCAAGTGTCGATAATTTTAATGAATTTGTTTCAGTCATGTTAGTAATTCTAAATTTATATATTTCTTTCAAGTTAATTAATAGCTTATTGTAGGTTATTAAAATTTTTCTTAATTTCCTCATCTGCTACTGTATCAGGAACAGCTTAATCTAAAGGCAAAATGATGAATACTTCCAGCTGTAGAAAGGACAAAAACTTCATACTATTTCACGAAACTACTCAGCTCTTGTTAAATCCGCCATCTCGTTTTCCCAATTTTTTCAAAAAGATGTAGGGTAGAGTGGAGTTAACTGAACAGGTAGGTTAACTGAACACATCGATGTTCCTGCCATCTAGTAATGATAAATTAAACTTGATTTTGCCTGAAAGCGTCTTTTGTTACGTGTGTTGACACTGTTCGGTGCAGATTTCTTTTAAGTCGGTTCTAATCTCGTAAATCAGCAAACATATTTTTAATGGCCGCCACGTAAAATTTGTGCTCCCAAGTTTTTTTGTGTTACAGTTAGCAAAATAGAGTTTAAAATTGGTTTGACGTATATTTTGTTCCAGTAAGTATTTTAGCATTTATTTCTTGTGTTTACCTAAGCTTAACATTATTTTTTGGCAGGCAAAGAGTGGATGTTTAGATTTATGAACAGGCACAACTTTTCGTTGAGGACGCCAGAACAAACAAGCTTAAGTAGGGCAACCAGTTTTAATAAGACAAATGTGGAGGCATTTTTTAAAAATTTTAGAGAGATTAAAGAGAGATATAATTTGCAATCTAATGATATATACAATCTAGATGAATCCGGTGTAACCACGGTCCATAAACCTCCTAAGGTTCTTGCAATTAAAGGAAAAAGAAATGTAGGCCAGATGACGTCGGCTGAAAGAGGGACGCTCGTAACTGTTGTAGGAATTATTGGAGCTACAGGACGATATGTTCCTCCTTTTTTAATATTTCCCCGAGTCCACTTTAAAGAAAATATGCTCCATGGAACTCCAGTTGGCTCTAAGGGTGGAGCTTCGCCTTCTGGATGGATGAACAGTCAGTTGTTTCTTCCTGTGTTGCAGCATTTCGTACAAAACGAGAGACCATCTAAAGAACATCCCAAACTAATAATCCTTGATAATCATGAGAGTCACTTAGGTATTGCAGCACTAAATTTTGCTAAGCAAAACGGTATACTCCTTTTGACATTGCCACTCCATTGCAGCCACAAGCTGCAACCATTGGATTTAGCAGTATTTGGGCCATTCACTGTTTATGACATCGGAAGTCTGGTTGGAGAGGCTTTATTGCAAGCGTTTACTCCAAAAAATATATGCAGTGGATTTCGTGCAGCAGGAATAGAGCCGTTTAATGACCAAATATTTTCGGATGAAGAATTTCTTTCATCATATGTTACAGATAGACCAGGGAAAACATCAGAGGAAGAGGCACCACAAGCTGGGTCGTCACAAGATAATACATCACTGCCTAAACCGATTCAACATGGCATGACAGATCCTGTTCTGTCACAATTTCAGCTCTCAAAATATCAAGAATCACAAGCCGGACCATCACAAGCTGAATCGTCGAGCACTGCTAAACTACAAACTGAAAAATCACAAACCAAACCGACTTTATCTTCAATTGAGATAAAAAAGCCGACATTACAAATTATAACTCCTGAACAGATCCGTCCTCACCCCAAAGCTGGTGAACGAAAGTCTACAATTCGACGAAAGAAAGGAAAATACCTGATTTTGACAGACACTCCTCTCAAAGAGAACATAGAGGAAGAAGCAAGACTTCGAGAAGAAAAAGCACACAAAAAAAATAAAACAACTAACAAGAAAAAAGAGGCAGTAAAAAGACGTATTCTAGAAGGCAGCTCTTCTGATGATGAAAGTGTTATCTATGAAGAAAGAACGGATTCTTAAGAAGAATTTGATGCATACGACGATAGTCCGCAAGCTGTGACAAAAGGCGATTTTGTAATCGTGAAAGTGTATGGGCAAAATAAATTAAATTGCAGACATTATGTTGGTGAAATTATTCATGCTGTAAATGATGGTTTTGAGGTTACTTTTTTAAAACGCCACAAAGAAACAAAATATTTTTTTAAAAATAATGAAAATGGCTTAGTTGTAAAAGCTGATATTGTTTGTAAGTTACCCATGCCAGCCAAAAGTAACAGTGCTAGATATGCCAACATGGTGTCATTTCAAGTTGATTTAAATGAATTTGACTTTACAGTTTATTAAAATTACCTATAATATTTTCATACATGTTCAGTATGTTTGACTTTACAGTTTATTAAAAGTATCTATAATATTTTAATGTATCTTCAGTATGTTTCTTATTATAAATAAAAATGATTGTTAAAAAGTGTTGACATATTTTCTATGATATATTTTTTACATTTTTATTATAGCTAGTCGCCTTATTCGCTAGAGGGCTAGACTTGTATTTAGGGTATTAGGTTGGTAATAGTAAATGATGGAAAGCTTGCCAGCCTTCTTATGGTTTAGTGCCCTGAATTTTCCATGCATGGCCATTTTTGCTGTTTAACAATTTATGACAAATTTATTGTATATTTCTGTCAATTAAATAACAAAAATGGCGGCACATGAAGATTCCAGGGCACTAAATCATAAGAAGCCGACAAAATTTCCATGTAGAAAGTGTTAAGTAAAAGTAAATTTAAAAAATATATCTTGTTTGTACCTCTGTTCAGTCAACCTGCATAAGTGGTCCAGTTAACGTGACAGGCAGGTTAACTGGACAATTTGATAGGTTTTAAAAAAAGTCAATCTGTCATACACATAAATTTAAATTTAACTTTAAACATTACGTTTTCCAATTACTTACATAACTTCCAAAGCATGGTCATAAAGGTATTTTTTAGCAACAATTTTCTGGTCAAAAACAAAGTTTAAATTTTGATTGGTCCAGTTAACCTCACTCTACCCTACTGTACGTTAAAAAAATGGCATCAAATACATTGACTCTATACTTTGCACGTCTTTGAAACAACTTCTAGTTCATTTTTCCGTGTAGTGCAATGACATCCAAAAGATGTAGGTTTTGTGAGACCCATTCCACTATTGGGGATTTTCATGAAAACAAAATCCTCAAGTTGCAGCAATGAGACGGTCCTTAAACGGCAGCCTTATTTCTTTGGAGCTCTGGTGTAAAACTGTTTGACAACAATGTTTAATACCTGATGATAATAGCTCTTGTTACGTACTTATACAGGGAAATCCAAATGTCACTGACAGGGATGTGTACAAGAGAGAAGCATGCAATACAGATGTTATAAAGAATGTGCCGATGGTAATGCGTCAAGCCGTAACCGTGTCGGTGGCCTCGTCAGTCGAGTTGCTAAGCAATGTGATGCTTCTATCTCTCTCTCTATTGCGCGCTTCTTGCGCTTCTGTCTCGTATACATACAATGTCAGTGCTATATGGATTTCTCTGAATACTGTATATACTGTACCATATAATAGTGCCTCACAAAGTCAAGTAACCTCCAAATATAATGCTCGCATATACAGGGTGTTCGGAAGGTCCTTTTAAGGGGTGATAATATACCCCAATTGAAACAGATTGAGCTAAATTATACCTTAGTACAAAGTCGAACCGAGTTACGCGCATTTTTGTGAAATCCTAGAAAAGAGCCAAAATCGCTTGTTCAATAACGAAAAACAAATCCTTTGTTTTCTTATTTTCATCATTTATCTTAATGATGGTCTCCCTATACAAATACAGTTTCCAAGTTACCGAATGATTCCGAAGCTCGTTACAAAAAATCGAGTTGGCTTACGGAATGGATCGATGTTCCGCTACTTCATGGATTTGCGAACGAATTTATGGGAAATTGTGGCAACACTGTAATTTAAAATCAATTAAAAAACTTACTTCACGTCTGTTCATTCTTATCTATATGCAATAACCTAAAATATTATATCAAGTAGAATGTTATGGAAATTACAAAAAAAATCAAATCCTCTTTTCGTGAAATAAAGCGCTTGACAGTGACAAAATTATTCATTGGTTTGATAACAAAATGCACTTTGTTATTTCTTACATATTTTCATGCCTTTGTTTCGTATTTCTGTAGCAGTAGTCAGTTTACTAAGAGTAGGTCGGTTTCACATTTATGTCTCGATTTTCGGAAAAAATTTAATACACAAATATAAATAACATTTTCAAGACCATTACAGACCTTCAGATCTAACGACATATCCCAGAGGTACAAAGCCGTGATACACCAATCATTTATTTTTTTGTGAAAATGAGACACTAGTCATACACTTGAAAGTAGCAGAATTATTTGCTCAATCTAATGATGTGAACCATTATTTCTGATGCATTTTCATGTCCTCTCTGATTACCTATTGCTATAGGTTGTCGTAGTGGGTCATACGCATCCCGGCTTCAATTCTCTTAAATAATCCACAAAGCCGTGATACACCATTCATTTATTTTTTTGTGAAAATGAGACACTAGTCATACACTTGAAAGTAACAGAATTATTTGCTCAATCTAATGATGTGAACCATTATTTCTGATGCATTTTCATGTCCTCTCTGATTACCTATTGCTATAGGTTGTCGTAGTGGGTCATACGCATCCCGGCTTCATTCTCTTAAATAATCCTTAAATAATCCACAAAGCCGTGATACACCATTCATTTATTTTTTTATGTAAATGAGACACTAGTCATACACTTGAAAGTAACAGAATTATTTGCTCAGTCTAATGATGTGAACCATTATTTCTGATGCATTTTCATGTCCTCTCTGATTACCTATTGCTATAGGTTGTCGTAGTGGGTCATACGCATCCCGGCTTCAATTCTCTTAAATAATCCTTAAATTTTGAATAACAAATGCTCGTTGCAAGTCGTATCATCATATAAACCAGCTGCTTTGTCTAGGCCCTCACATAAAGATATCAAGCAATAGTTAGATCTAGCGACCACAGAAGCACGAAGGGCGCGGGCGTGTATTAGAAATTTATATAGTGACTAGTCCTTTATTGTAAAATAACGATACATAGTGTACCACGGTTTTGTACTTGAAGGGTCTATCGTTTGCTCTGATGTTTTCTAATGTTTTTGAAAATGTTAATTATATTTATGTGTATTAAATTTCATGTTTTGCAATATTTGAAAATCGACGACTTTTGAAGAATACATAACGACGTAGCTTGAGTATGTTTCCACCTACTTCTTTTTGCCGAGGAAATCCCTCCAAAACCTTTCAAATTTGCTAAGTATCCCGATTATATTCTACATCTCGTTTGTAACGTGTGAAAAAAGCTATGCCATCAAACTTTGGTTATTCTCGACATTCAACAAAATCTCGATGCCAATAATGTTTTGGCATACAATTGAGTCTGTAAATTGATCAACGTATACTACCTGAAGATATCCAACCTAATGCTGCAATCGCCCGTCCAAAAAAATTATCCGAAATTAAATGTGATACCGCAGCGTACTTTGAGAGATTAGTTTCTCATAGATGGCGCTTTTATGCTTCTATATGCTCATATAGAAATAGAGAATCAGCTGTGTCAAATTCTCATAGATGACGCTACGAAATTGTATTATATCTCGGATAATTTGTTGGACGCGCGAATATAGCATTAGGTTGGCTTCAAGTACAATACGTTAATTAATCGGCTATACCTAAATAATAGTATACATTTTTTTTGAAGACGAACCTCAACCGAGTACAAGTAGAGGGATTGATGAATATGACACAAATATTGCAGAATCGTCTTCAAGAATGAGTGGAGATCGGTAAGTAGATCAGTGAAGAATATGGTTTCCAGATAGTTTTAACATTTTTGCCGGTCTTTGATTTTGCATTTAGTATTGCATAGGTAAGTGAAGTATTAAAGGATGGGGTATTTGAAGTTGATCCGCTATAAAAAGGAGACTAATAAACATTTTTCAAATTTCTGGTTTTATTGGCAAGGTTGAACGGTCTCACTTGAAAATGAAACAATATCTGTCAAATGGGTGCCACGGCTGACTCGACAACATTAATCCAATTTTCGAGTATTTTTTTGATTGTTTGGGCTCAAGGCATCAGTTTTTTCTGGATAGAACAGGGAACATTTGACCTTAACGGCTCCCCACAAAAGTAATCCAATTGGTTCAAATCGCAGCTTCGAGCCCGTCAATTGATATTGGTCTTCGAAATCGGTGCTCAAAAGTTTGATTGTTGCGTTGGCTGTACGGCAAATTGCGCAGTCTTGTTGACACCAAATGTTGTTTATGCCATTGTCTTCTACATTTGAGTACAACAGTTCGTTGAGCATGACACTATAACTCTCCCCTATTGACTCAAACGGCAGCTTCTTACTCGTTTTCGAAAAAAAATAGCTTAGTGATGCCGTCAGACCAAACACAATTATTTTAAAACATTCCTAAATTGCAAAACGTGTCATAAATAAAATTTTTGAACATGTCAGATATCACAAATTGACTTATCACCTCGCGTGGTCAACCCTACCCTGCTTTATTTGACGTTTAACTTAAAAATTAAAAAAAAATACGAGTTTTACATACGTAGAATAATATATAGTTGTTTAATAGACAAACACAATATTTTAGCTGGCACACGATTCTGACTTCCAATAAATGAATGAATAGTGTAATTTAAGAGTGAAGTACTAACCTGTGAAACAAGTTCCGAACTCCACTGTATTTTGATATTTTGAAAACGATGTCGAGTTGATGTTGGTGGATTTCAATGTAATACCTGAAACGTATCCTGTAGGTTCCATGCTGTCAACCCTCTATGTTTGTCTGGTCGCTAAATATATGCCGTAGTCATATTGTAGAATGGACCATTTGATGAAGTGATCGACCATTCCATGAAATGGTCGCATTTCAAGAAATTTTCAACTAAATTTGAACAGATCGTTAAATCGTCAACTTTTAACGATTTTGTCATCCTCGATGGAGGGTGCCTATAGGATATTTAATAAAAGGCGTGTATGGATCTTTAGAAATTAAAATAAAATAATTATATCAGAACATTCCTAAATTGGAAAACGTGTCATAAATAAAATTTTTGAACATGTAGGATATCACGTTTAACTTAAAAATTAAAAAAAATACGATGAGTTTTCCATAGGTAGAATAATATACAGTTGTTTAAAAGTCAAACACAATATTTTAGCTGGTACACGATTTTGACTTCCAATAAATGAATGAATAGTGTAATTTAAGAGCGAAGTACTAACCTGTGAAACACGTTCCGAACTCCACTGCATTTTGACATTTTAATCGGTACTTGCATGACCCACATATTACTCGAGTACTTTTCCTTTCTTCCTCATTTGGTAACGAGAGAACAGCTTTGTTATCAACGATCACTGCCGTGTTGCGCGTCTATCGGTAATTAAAGTAAACATTTTGCGATTTGATCAAACATATCGTTAAGCAATTTTTATCATTGATCTGGTCAAAGCACATCATGATGTGTCCAATAGATAAGTGATACATTTCATTAAATGTTTGATCATTATACGAAATGGTCAACATTAGTATATGGCCACGACACATATATATATATATATATATATATATATATGCTTGCAATTCTGACGACCTCCACGGTGCCCTTTTTCAAGTACAAATGACATCAGAATTGCATGTGCGGTTTCATGTGGCGTCCAGACAAACATGACGGATTGATGAATGATCCTGGAGATTCTGAGCAACAGCAGCAATCTTTTCGTCTGAACGCACTGAATGCGATCGAAGACAGATTGTTTTGTCCAATAATGTATCATGAACTCGCTTCACAAAGTGGTTCACGAACCGAATTCATGATTTGTCTCGAATATAAAATTTTTACTTACCTGTCCCTAAAATCTAAAATTTTACTGAACTTGAACATCTTAGACCTATAGGCTTATTATCCTTGTTTTCAAAAATTCTAGAAATAACATACAGAAGCAATATAGATTATTCTTGAAGTAAAAACGCAAACAAATTAAATCAAGACGATCACGCTAAGAAAACGAATGTCGAAATGCAGTTAATACACGATGCATTGCTTACACATTTTGATCGGATAAGCGACTGAGCTCTTCCGGTTCAGATACCTCATGTCAAATTCCATTAAATCGTTTGGGACATTTTAAACTTATTCCCCGGAATAAAAAGTAGCGTATGTGCTATTCCAAACTATATCTACCTCTGTACCAAATTTCGTCCAGATACCTTTACAGCCATTTTGGCGTGATTGAGTGTCAAACATCGGCAACTCATAACATTAGTAGGGATTATTTTCCATCATATGTTTTAGGCACCTACGATCTTCATTCTTTCGTTTTTGAAAACGCCACTAGTTTTGATATTTGGATATTGCAGATCACTCAGATTAGGACCAACTCCTCAGACTTCCAATACAGATACAGGCCTCAAAGTGACTGTGGTCAGTGAGGGATACCCAGAGACAAGCATCGGCAAAAAGATTCAATTCGACAAACTCAAAAGATGCCTGAAAAAACCATGGATACTCAAACGCTGGTACATACTTCCTGAGCACATCAAGCAAGAGTATGATGTTAAAGATATAGTTTGGTCTGCAGGCAAAGTTATAGTCACGTGTGGTAACATACCTACGCGTGATTGGTTGAATAGATACGTGAGGGATATGAAACCATTCAAGGATGCTCAGTTGAAGACTTTAGTAGAAGAGGAGGAAAGTTGTAACAGAAGGCCAAAGTTTTCAAGTGATAGAACAACTCCGTCTGAAAATAGGCCTCTTGAATCTCTTCCTAAGGATAGATCTTTCGTCATTATGACAGGTGAGCTTAGATTAGGGAATGACGAACTGATACTCAAAGAACCGGATATTTTGGACTCGCTGTCAAACAGTGGCGTATAGAAGGCCGGGCATTTTGGTCGAATTTGCCAATTTATATTTACCGAACTAGCCTTGTAGGCACAAGCCTAAATAGCGGGGTACCGAAATTACCATAAGGAGGTTAGAGTTAATCTGATTTTTGAATTGCCTAAGGCTAGTAGAAGTAGGAAAAGCATCCTCAAGCAATCTCGGCACCCTAGGAACAAAGAAGCGATCACACCGGTCAATTCCGGATGTTTCGCAGAGTTAGGATGAGAAGCAGAAATCTGACGGGTCCGTCTGAAAGGGTCAAATAGAACAAAACTGAGTGTCAGAAAAAACAGATGAGGGTCGAATTGTAAATGAAACAATAGTACAGGGCAAGTAGGTATACTCGTCATATAAAGATGCCAAAATTATCAAAGAAAAATATTTTTTTTGGGAAATTATTGATCAATATTGGGAAAACGTTTATTATTATTAATGGCCAATTTTTCACAATGTAGTAAATAAGAGTAAATGACACTCAGCTGATTTATATCAGTTTTTTTATTCATATTATTCTCGATAGGAACATACCTGTTTTTTTGCCGACTTTTAGTTTTGTTACGTATCAGAACAATGTCATATATTTTTTCCTAAACAGTCAGACACGTGCTTTCAATAATGAATTGTTAACATTTTTGGTTGTGATACAATGTGTGCCTCATATTCAATGTTGTATCCAGGCATGAAGTTTCACTTTTTACATTCTTTCACAACATCAATCTAGCTAGGACCTCAACGATTTAGTAAGCATCATTTCCAGATGGTGATGACAGTTGCAGAGTTGACCAAAAGCTTGAGAAAGTAAAAGTTAAAAGAGCACTCCTATAGTTTAATTTTGCCGCATTTCCCAAAATTAACTGTTGCCTAACTATATAAAAACTGGGAAATATATCAAAAATCTGTTTTCGTGTTTAAAATTACTATAATATTTACAGGGTGCTCCATAACTTCGTGCCATGGGAAACTTTTCTTTTATTAGAACACCCTATATGTTATTGCATATTTGACTAGAGCTTCTAAAAACAATAAGTTTGATATCATATAACATATGGTTTTGATTGTCAATGGCTATAGACATTTGGTCAAACGACGGGTCGTAATTTTTGAAGATATTTAGATAAATCTTAGTTCAAAAAAATGTTATCATCGATTTTAAGCTGATCTGGAAAAAGTGCTGATGTTTCTTTCTATTTATTGAGAATCTTAAAGCAAAATATACATTTTCTCCAAAATTTCAAATAGTATATTTCTACATCGTTAAATAGTTTTTGTATACTGTATATTATACAGAGTGTCCCGACATTCAGGGATAATTCTACAACTGTAGATAGGTCACTTGTTGGACTAAATGGTAAAATTTTATTTTAGTAGAAGTCTTATAGTTTTCGAAAATTTCAGCATAAATTTTTTGTTAAAAACTGGCTTATATTCTGTTAATCTCGTGCCATTTCTACAAATATCATTTTTGTTGAACATTACTCATTTTATCTCATGCATAATAATTTTTCTTTGAGGTATAAAAGTTATGCCAAAGTCTAAATTTTTATTAAAATTCCTTCTGCTGTCTGACTTTTATACCCTGTAGAGTGGGAAGGTCAAATACGATCACTGTGCCAATTAGTCGAGAAAGTTTCCAACCATTGACAATTTTTAAATGGTATTATTATTCACCCTCCGCTGTTTCCTTTTTAGTTTTATTGCAGTTGTAATGCGTCAGTTTATCGTCGATGTAGAAAATAACAATTGGCTTGGATACAAAAAATGGACAGGATTGATGTTATATACCTTCAGTTTTACTCAAAACGGTAACCTGCCTTCTGAATATGCTCGATGAACGTTAATGAAAACACCGTAACCGGGAGGATGTCGAGGGATATCTTTAAGAACAGAAAATAATTTTCAGTTAATGTTATACGTGATACTGGAAGTAAAACCACTTTACCCCGCATGACATAGCTCAGCAGCTTTTGTAGCGATACACTGGTATTCCCCGTAAATTAGATGCATATCTACGTACTCGCTAAGCGTATACTCGTATCTGAGCATAATGAAACAACAGCACAAAAACTAGAAAAGTAATAAAAACTCAACCTGAAAATAACTATAAAACTCAAAATACAAATAACGAGAGGCATTGAACAAGAACTGACTTTTAAAAATCACAAGACGTAGGAACAAGGTGTCAAATCTGCTTCTTCTAGCGTTCATTTGAGTTTGTCAGACGAAATATACCGTAATCGGATCAGGCTGCCTTATTTCCTTGCCACCAAGATCGTTGGACCTAATTCTACAATTTTTGTTATTATAGTTGTTTAGAGAATTTGTCTACCAAGCTGTGCTGACCAAAGAACAGAATTGAGTTCCAAAATTGAAGCATACTCGAGCATTCGAGCGTTTCAATGTAGGGCATTGTTAGGTACCTATAGGAGTTGTATATAAAAAATCAGGTCACATATAGGAGTAGGTAAAAAATCAGGTCACGCGATCCCAAACTTGATCGTTTGACCGATATATTTAAACATGGACGTCAAGTTGTAAAACGGTTATTCAACATATCTTCATAACCAGAGGGTCGATTTTAACTTGTCGAGGTCATTTTACTCTTTTTTTAGAACAAATATGCCCCAATGCCTTATATGGAGGGATGTCGCAACAACGGTTTTGCTGCCATTTTGCATAAACCCCGCTACCGGTTTTCGCTAGCATTTTGCGGTGACCCTCATATTGTATTTAAAATGACGTCACTTTTCTTATTATATTTCCCTCATCAGGCTCATCCATTTAATACCCATATTATTGGGGGTGACTATGGAAAAAATAAATCGTCATTTTACGGTGGCCCCGATACTAGATTTACGGTGCTTGTTATGTTTGTCTGATAAAGCCCCTTAATTTGATACCTATATCATAGAGATGACTATGGTGATTATAAACACGATCTTGGGCCGGTCCAAATTGGCCATATAGAATTAAGAATGGCGTTACTTATTGCGTTTTTCACATCAAACCCTTCCATTTGTTACCCATATCATAGGGGTGACTGTGAATAACGTAAATTACCATCTTGTGGCGGGTGCCATATTGCATTTAGAATGAACTCACTTTGCTTATTGCGTTTCTCTTGTAAAGCCCATTCAGTTGATACCCTTGTAATAGGGGTGACTAAGAAAAATGTAAATCGCCATTTTGGATGACCGCCATATTGGATCTAGAATGACTTTGTTTATTGTTTCTCTCATCAAGCCGTTACATGGAAATGATGAATCACCGTTTTGTAGCATCCGCCATATTGGATTTAAAATGACGGCAGTGATTAATTTGATGTTGTCACGTGAACCAAACTTGTCAGCTCAATTGGTGAACAGGTTCAAAATTCAGTTCCAAGATATGTCCCACACGCATTAACATACATACTAAAAAACAGGTCAAGTTAAAATAATAATTCCATGATCAAACGAACTTATCTGTAAGTGATGTTCGATCTTAATTATGTGAAGTCCTCGTCGAAGTAAATATTTAGAATACATATCGTAGTACCCTCGTTAGTTGTACCATACCAAAGCGCGCACACAGCGAAAGAAAGCGGCATCGCGCCCGTTCCCCCTAACTTCCTCCCCTCTGGCCGCCTATAAACATTCATTTTCTTCAAAGCCAAGTTGTTGCAGTAATTGGGTGATACCTAGGGAGCGAGGGAGCTATTGACTTCGACGAGGACTTCACATCATTAAGATCGCACATCACCTACAGGTAAGCTCGTTTGATCATGCAATTATTCCGTCCTCGTCGAAGTAAATATTTAGAATACATGTCGTAGATGTTCAAAGCTAGCTGCAACAACATACTACCAACGCTCTACAATAGTACACAACTACACAAATTGTACGCAATATATGTGTCAACTAAATGTACATTTCCATTATAACAACTCAAGTTCGGGCTTTTAGCAACAGGTAATATGACGTACCTTGTTCAAAAATTACCATCCATTACATGGTAATAAGTAAATAACTTAATAACATATTTATGTTTAAGGTGTAGAGACTTGGTTCACCTCAAATGCCGCTTGAACAAAGATATTGTTTGGCATAAGAGATTTGTGACGTATCTCAATAAACGTACTCCAGCCCGCCGCCAACCTAAGACTACTATAATTTAGCAGGCGGAGAGGTAAGCGGATTTCATGTACTGTGGGCTGTCAATTGTGACACTCTCTGTTAAAACCGACTTCAACTATCTGAAAGCAGAGGCATCACGATACAGTGACAAATAAATACTTTGACTGCACAGACATTTGGGCGTAAAATACGGTAGAACTAAAAGTGGTTGCCTCATGAGTCAGCCCGAGACTATCAAAAACTGAGAAATCCCAGTTTCAATATTATTCAACCCAATCCGGATGTTGTCTCTTTCGATTAGTTTGCACACTCTGACCTGATGTTAGAGCTAGCTGTGTTGCTATTTCCTCATCCAAATACCTAAAGAGCTTACCAGCAACAACCCCTTTGGTTGTTTGAGAACAAACCCAGTATCTATATTTCAGTTGAGATGGCCTCAGCCTGTAAATGCCCTTCAAAAACCATTTTATGTCTGCGTCGTTAGTAACATTTTGGGTAAAAGACTGATAGCTGAAACAATTATATCTTGATCTCTTATCACACTGTATGTTAAGAAATTTCAAGGTAGAAAACCAGACATGTGTTTCTTCCCGACAAAGGTCCTACCGTAGTCTAAGCCCACAATACGTGATGGATTATCGGAATGACAGCTTTCCAGTAACGATAACCAGGGTAAGCTTACGAATTAGTGGGAGCGGCGTCCTGGGTCCCTCTATCAGATCCTTGCGTTACATTTAGAAGTGAAATTTCAGAAACACCGAATACTTGAAAAAAAATCAGGACGGTGACAGGTGCACGT